TCCAGCTCGCTCGGCTCCTTTAGCTTTTGCAAATACTTTCCAACGACGTGAGAAGCTGAATGAGAGAAAATAGGGCATAGAATATTTTTAAACATGAGTGAACAAGCAAATCAGGACACTTGACTAATTATAAGAGAGAATGGAGGAAGAAAAACTGACTGTACCTGAGAAAGAGGAAAAAAAAAAAAAGAGTTGTTTGGCACAGTGACTACTGTTACACTTATAAATTGAATCCCTTTGTCCCTTCTTCATTTATTAGTGCCAGTTGAAGACTGGATTTGATATATATGAACAGCCTCCTGACTTCAGTGAGGTGGTTTGTAGGAAAAAAGAGCCTCTCTACAAGGGTAAAATTACAGGATTGAACCATTATTTTTTTGCAGTACTCGGTGGAGCAGTCTCTGAGCGTGCATCCACAAACCAGTTAGCCACCTGTGCACCTACTGGGAGCGATTAGTAATCAATAACAGTAAAAATACCCAGAACTCGGTAGCTGCAACTGAAGTTAGATCCTGGCTTGAATCAGCAGCCTATTAATTGATTTATTGACTCTGGACTGAGACAGAAGTGGGGAGAAATTACTGAAGAAATTAGTACTGATCTGTCCTTTTGCTCAAGGCGCAGGACAAGGTGAATGACACCTGACCAGATCACAGGTGTTTGCTTAACCTGTTTCTTTTTTTTTTTTTTTTTGGGGTGCTTTTTTTGAGAATTTCTGCTCTTGATAGCCTTTGCTTAACATCACGGAGTATTTCCTAGCGTCTAACCTGTGCCGTGGTTTTCTGTATCTCCTGTCCTCTTGCTTCCCTCAGCTGAGCTCTCAGCCATATTTTTGTGTCACTCGGAGCAGGGTGACTTCAGCTGAAGTTGAGGCCTTGCCAAGTAGATAAGAAAAAATATTTCATGTCTCACAGTGGACCCTTACCCCAGTACAACCCGGATGGACATTTTGGAGCCTGAGGGCACTTTGGGGCTCGGCTGCTTTACTGCCCACCATCTGCCTAACACACTTCTGCAGCTTTCCACTGTGTGTTTGTGTAATCCGTTATTCCTTCTGGCTTACGGAGAACTGATAAAGGTGTCTTAGCAGGAAATACATAAACAGGAATGAAATGCCAGGAAATCCTGGGGATGGTGTGAGACCTCACTGTGAGGGAAGCTATCTAAGCACAGATTAAGAGGACAGTCCCCTGCCTCAGAGGACCTAACTACAACAGAAGAGACAACAGAAAGCTGCTGATGCCTTTGGGAGCCAGCCCCAGCCCCACTCATCCCACCCCCAGGGGCTCAGCACACATAAACCTCATCTGTCTGGCATGTTAATTTTGTTTTTTGGTAGATATCCATGCCCTTTAGCAACGGTCATTCTTCCTTCCACATATCCTGAAGTGACTTCCATCTGTAATCATAGTCCTTCTATTCCAGTCACATCATAGGAAATGTTAATTTCCTTTTTTTAATTGGGTTGATAAAGTCTTTTGTCTAACAAATCTTTTCCAATATGTTAGGACTAGATTTTGTTGCTGTGTGAGACATTCTCAGTATTGCAGCAGGGAACATTGTGATCGGTTCCAGTCTCTGAACTTCTCTCTTTTTCAAGGTTTAACTTTTGTGGCTCTTCCTGACACAGATAATGTATTCTTTTGTTAATAGAAGCTGAACTTGAAGAAAAGCACTTCTTTTTATGCACATGCAACTGGAAGCTAATCTTCGTTATTAATTATAGCAAGATAAGGTGTGCCACTGCGGATTGATGTTCTCCATCTGAGCACGGGAGATAGTTTTTGATTGCTTGTCTGGTGGCCCAGTGATGTCCAAGTACACCTTCCATCCTTACATGTGTTAGCAGCAGCCAGCTTATTCTTTGGTACAGAGCCGATGCATCTGTTTTAATTCTGCCTATTCTGAAGAGCCACATTTCCCTCAATTTTTCCTCCGTTTCTCTAACTTTGACAGTGAAGTTACTGAAAATTGTCAGTACCTGCTTTGGAGAGGAAGGAGGATTAAACTAACACTTGGAATGATTAATAAAATTTTTCTGCTTCCTCTTTCGAATTTTATTTGGGCATAAACCTGAACCATTTATACATTCATGAGTTGCAGCAAACTTCACAGGGGATAACATACCGTTTTGTAGATTATAGACAAGAACTCATCAAGCAAAATTTTTTTCTATCCGAACAATCTCTTCAGGGCACTAATCTTCCTGTCTGACGTACCATTCGACTGAGTGTCGTACCACAATGATGAAGCGATGCCAGCCTAACCATCTTACTTTTACCCTGTAGCCCTGTGTCCATTATTACTTCTTCTGATTCTTTTTCACCAAATTGCAGCTCGTTCATAGGATGGTGGTTAAATACTCCAGGTAGAAATACTTATCTTTTTTCTCAGCTGACACCTCTCCTCACTCTTGCGTGGGTATGTAAGAGATTACACGGTGGTCAGGAGTGGTAGTCAGTGGTCTCTGCCCGATAGAAAGCTACGTTTATCTAAATCCAGCCTTTCCTTGTTGGGCCTGTAAAAATAAAGCTTTACACCAAGGTGAAGCAGTACTGTGATGTTGTAGTAAAGGGACTGTCAATATTTCCCGCAATCCTTTCAGTACTGGTCAGAACAGGCACAAAATCCTCATTGACTTTCATTTGATTTGCAACTAAAGATATACTGCTGTAATAAAAATATTGTTCTGTTGACTTTCACTGGGACAAGAACTAGGCTTTTTTCACTGAAGTGCATTAGGAAGTGTTTTATCCAGTAATGGAAGGATTGAGTGCATCACTGAATGAAATCAAAATTAAAATGGGGTTTGAATAATTCAAAAACCAACAGTTAAATCTCTGCCTTTCTTCTGATGTTCTTCTGTAGGAAACTGGGAGGAATACCTACCTTCCTAAAGCAGCCTGACTACAGAGGTAGCACACGGGCTACGGGAGGATGGTGGTGTTTAATTACAATTACAGTTTAACACACGTGCTGTGCTGTGGTCGGTCGTTTCGCAGTTGCAATGTACAGTAGATTCTGCATTATTTGCTCTTTATTGCTATTCACTAGAATTGATACAGGGGAAAAATGAGAGTTACAATTTAAAGAAAAATAATGGTATATAAAGTAATGAGATTGTTCCAAAGCTTAATTAGATGGAGCAGATTGAATACATTACGGTAATGTCTTAAGGCAACGTAATTAAATTGTAAGCATAATCCTCCCTGTATTGGAACCGATTTTATCTTCATAAGGCAAGGAGCCCTTCCTACTATGTTAAATCACTAATTCTTCTAGGAAGGCTTACGAATCTCATATTATTACCAGACTTTAAAACCACAAAACAAAACAAGGTATAAGTCTGCATATCAAACTGTTGTTAGTCTGATTACAAGGATAACTTCAGTTTCAATCTTAGTATATGCTGCAGCTCAGTAATTGAATCATAGATCTAAAATACATATCTGCAGTGTATTACTGTGTATGCTGAATTCACCTCATTTATAAAATCTCTTAATGAAGTTGTTTCCAAATATATACACTGCCAAAGATACTGGTGAATAATGCACAGAAATGCTGTTCCTGAAATGCACCTCTGCGTATGCTGGATGCGAGTGCATCGATGCCTATGACATCTTAGCCATAAAGATTAATATTGTAAAATGTATGGATGTGTGTATGCATACGTAGATGTATGCATTTATTTTTATATATTTATTTGTATTTTATATACACTTTCATCTTTTAAATTTTCTTTTGTGTTTTCTTTTATAAATTTAACTTTTATTTTCATGGTTGGATACTTTCCTTCTTCGTTACACTACTGGGGGGATGATCTGGCTTTAGAGTATAGATACATCCCAGTGGCATCAAAATTTTTGCCTTACTTTATTAATTTAGTGTATGTAAATAATCTCTCTTAGCATCCTGATGCCCGTGTATTATCTGGAGGCTTCTTTTCTCTTGAATTCCCAAACGTTTAGCTAGGTAATAATTTTTTTCAGGTGACATCAGGAGGTACCTTAAGTTCAGCAAACGATCTTTCTAACTGCCTCTACTGGTCTGTTTTAAATAATTCTGATACTTGCTTGTCAGCCCGTAGACAGATTAACTTTGTTATTTGCATTCAATAGTGAACTCTCTTTTTAAAGATTGCTATTGGGAGGAGGGGGAAGAGTAGTTACGTGTCATGAGTGGTCTTTATTGTTGCTGGTACTTGCAGCAGACATAAATCTCTACCACAGTCTAAAGACAAGCTCATTTGTCTGAGCATTACCTGACAGTTTCATAGCATAAATATAAAGTTTTCAGGAGGAATATAATGTTTATTTTGAAAATGGAGATTAGGGTACCAAAGAATAATATGTTTACTTTTCAGCACCATGAATATGTAGTGACCTACTTATACTATACCGTTTGGTTTTATTTTTAAAGCTTGTCAAGCCAACTCCTGTTGCAATTTAAGAAGCATCCTTTTTAGAAAAGCAATAAACTACACTGGGTACTAAATTAGCGTTTTAGAAGTAGAGCAGTGAACAATGTTTTGTAGATTGTCCTTCAACAGCATTTTTATGTGTTATCGTACCATCAGTAAAATAGTGTTTGCCGAGTGTTTAAAAACATGTTTTGCTTCATCTGCAAGTTAAAATACAGCCAATTGCAGGTCTAGGTTAGATACAGCACTGCGATGCTGTAACTTTAAAAATATATATACTTTCTCCTAATAAACTGAATTTTTTAAAGATCTCTCGATTATCATGAGGTATTTTAAAGAGAAGTGATTTTATCCCAAACATTCCTTGTGTTTCTGCATATGCTAATTTCCTTGATTGATTTTGAGAACATCTGCATATAATTCTGTATACTTAACAGTGGTGAGATCACACTGCTTTTCAAGTAACAGCTACAAATTTCACTTTCCAGACAGAATCAGATTTTTGTCTAATTGGGATGCCAAATGTACAAAGGTACCACAGAAGAGTGTGTAATTATGTAATTTTCTCTTGATCTTTCAGAGTCTTCCTGCGAGCAATTAATCAGTATGCAGATATGCTAAACAAAAAATTTCTTGATCAAGCCAACTTCGAGTTGCAGGTATGAAGAAACCACCAGTGTCTTGGGGACTAATGTTAATGTTGTAATAAGTTTCTGCCTTAAACACATTAATTCTGGGCTATGCACATGTCGTCGTGAACCCCGGGTGACCAGTTAGCCCATTTAAGTCATTTCAGGCTCAGCAGGTATGTACGATCCACTGGTGTCCTGTGGGTCTCGTCGTAGGAGAGCACCAAGTCTTACCCAGAGCAGCATAGCAAACTCCTCCTTTCCTTCAGGAACAGCAAACAGGGGTGTCCTCCCCCCTTTTTGCAGCAGAGGCTTTAGCAGAATTATTGCTTCAAATGTGGAGCAGCGTCTGAGTGGCCTGCTGATGAGAAACGCCCCAGTTTAGGTCACTCGTTCAGGATCCTCGTGGGCTTTTTTCATATTTATGTGTTCACATTTAATTTCACTTGAGTCATCAAAACACAATCGATTAGGGTTTGTAGATGGGAAATGTTTCACGGAAACATAAACACAATGAGGAGATGTACTAAGAATATATCAAGAAACACCATCTCCGTGGTGTCTGTTATTTTCTCCTTTAAATATTTATGTGCATAATTTAGATACTTCTAAGTTGTTTTGTAGGTGTGCAGAAAAAACATTTCAGAGAATTAATGATATCTATTCTTGTCATTTTGGGGGCTTTCAGCTTTGGAACAACTACTTCCACCTGGCTGTTGCTTTTCTCACACAAGAGTCTTTACAACTGGAGAATTTTTCAAGTGCTAAAAGAGCAAAAATACTTAACAAGTAAGTCTTATTCGTCATCTAAATCATGGACAAGAACTTGAGGTCGATTAACATAATTTTAGTTTAATTTCTTAGCTAAATCCATTCAAATTGAGATGCAATCATGGTATAATGAAAGGTTGGTTTTAAAAACATGAATCAAGTATTGCATGTGTTTCTACCCTTGAATCAAGATCTAAATTACATGATTCATTACTGATGAAGACAGTATTTTATACTGCAGGATGTTCATAAAGTCAAGACTTTTCAGAAGTATTAACATATTATAAAACTGAATTTTTAAATCACTTTAGCTTTGTGCTTATTCTAATCTCATTTTACATGCGCTCTTTATTGCTTAATCCCTAACGGCCTTTTAGAGTGAATTTTTGTAACTACAGCCAGTTTCACTGCGATATCCCTGAAGAATGGGTTTGTATAACCGCAGCCTTGTATGCTTTCCTGGTTAAAAGGGATTACATTGCCTACCTCTGAACAGGGAGCTTGAACTACCCGATTGCTATTCAGAGTCCCACGGCAAATGAAACCTGTCAAAAGAAAAAAAAGACTAGAAATAAGACTGGAGCATGAATATTTTCTTTAATGTGTGTCTTCCTCCTAAATTTCATTAGGGTTCCAGTGTAGTGGACCTCATCATTAATTAGCTAAACTGAGCACTGAAAAAAGCCAGTTACGTGTTTCCAAACGCAGTGTGCACATTCTCTTTTTGTCGTGGTATTTGTAAAGAGCGCCTGCAAAAGCATTTTGTTCCCGTGGTCAGTCGGGTTACCGCAGTTAATGCACAGAAATGGGGAGTTCCAAAGCTATGATTCCCTGAACAAGTATAGCTCAGGCTCCTTGTATGTATAATACATATTATATATCTGTAGAGAGAAAGAAGATGGGTTTTGTACCACTTCACCTTCTAAATTGAAGCCTTTTTGTGTAATGCTGAGAGAGATCAGAGTGAGAATGGGAAGAGTTTATCACTGCTGCAGCAAGATGTGATTTTAAAATGCTTTTACTGGGTGAGATGCAGGTGTTGACCAGAAAAGACAGGGCTCAATGTCCCATCCTTTTTTTTTTTTTTTATGGGGCACCAAACTTTTGCCCTTCAAACTCATCCACTCCATCGTGAGTTTTGAGGAGCTTCCTTTGGAAGCTGTGCTTTACCTGAGTGTTGAAACAGAATTTTTAAGCACCGTATGATCTAATCTACGTACATGTGACTCTTGGGGCTTCCTTGATGAAACAGGAATATTTAGAAGTTCAGTGGAAAAGTGATGTCAAGCAGAGCTCAGGCTTTTGCACTTGTGCTATAAATATCCTAAATAACATTATACGTTTGCAGAAGGAAATCAAGATGGTTTTGTAAAGCCAGGTAAATTTTCTTTCACTAGATTTAGAATTTATGGAACAAAACGGTTTTGTACAAGACGGGACCACTGATGCAAATTCTCTTTTTGTAATTAAGAGTGTAAAGGATACTTTGGCGAAAGGTAAAGTGCTCTCTCTGTCCGGTGTTGGTGTGCACCTACGTGAGCATTTGAGTTCAGATCAGACTCCTGGCCTGGACAAAAATACAACAGCTGAGCTGTAACTGGACTGAAAATTACTGTCAAATACATTTGTGGACTGATATTCCCTCTTTGTGAGGACAGGAACCTTAGACAGAAAATTTCAAGTGGTTTTTCTATTAAACTGAGCAGTATATCTTGCTGAAGAAATTGAAGAAATCAACAGACATTTCTCACTGCTCATGTAAGTAAATAGGTTAAGTCATTTGAAGTGGTTACCTAATGAAGTTTGTTAAATTGTAAATCTCTGTAATGATTTTATAAGTTGTTATTTTCGGTTTAATCATGTTTTGGAGGCAGAAGTCAAGACCATAAATTCTTCAAGATGCAATAAATGTATGATCTGGAAGCACTAACTTTTACTGCTGTGTGAAACCACTACCAGTTCTGTGCCAAAGGGATGTAATTAATCAGTTAATTCAATATCACACTCACCCATCTTTTTAAGTATATATTTCAATTAATATGACAAATATTTAATAATTAAAATTTAATTATTGTAATTTGTTTTTGCTAAATATTGCATTTAAGCATTAGATAATAACAGATTCTTAGTGATGCAGAAGAATCTCTTTAATCTGTATTAATGACAGGGTATCTCACTGTTATCCCACAGAAATCCCGCAAGTTGCCAGATATTACCATTTTGCTCATATTGTTATTTAAGTAATGATCTTTAACATTCCGTGTAGCAAATACATCCTCAGAGCTCACTATTCTTCTGATCCCATCATTAATGAAGACAGTGGGATGTTTTTCATTCATTAAGCTTTCCTGGTATTAATGTGGAGAGGGAGTGGAATATACCAGTAACAGCGATGGGAGGTGCGAGGCCTTGGTGCCACCACTTTTATAAAAATAAAATACAGCTTTATGCTGTGAAACTCTCTGTTATTCCTCCAGCCATTATCATTTGAAAAATAGAAAATGCTCACAATGAATCTCTAACCACCCGTGTGTCCTGAGGGATGGTTAGGTAGTCTGAAAAGGCGGCAGAGGGAGGTTTTGCACCGCTGAACGTTTGGTGCGTGTTCTCCCGCTGGTAAGTACTGCTGCAGAAATTGAAAATTGGGGTCTTTTGAGGGAGAGGGAGTAACGCGAGGTGGCTGCGGGTTTGGGGGTAGCCTGGGGGTGTCGGGCAGCCCGTGTGACTCCCTGCCTTGTAAAAGGGACGTTCGGCAACGGGCGGCGCTGACGGGCACGTCGCAGAGCTGGTGAGGGAGGCCACGCAACGTCCTTGTAGGGGTCCCCTTTGGAGCACCTCTGATTTCAAGTGGTTTTGAATGCTGATCGGATTTTGAAATGAGATCTTTCTGCTTATTGGTATTAATTCCTATTTTTTTTTTTTTTTTAATGCTGGTTTTGTTTTTCATTTTAAGGTACGGTGATATGAGAAGGCAGATTGGTTTTGAAATCAGGGATATGTGGTACAATCTGGGTAAGTAGCCTGAGCATCTGTTGCTTAATGCTTTCACTCAGTGTTTGTATTGTATAAATCAAGTTGGAGGTGAAATGAACTTGCTTTCTTTTGTAACACAATGGTAGGCTTCCAGAAGGCATAGAAAAAGCAGGTGATTTAAGAAATAAAGCCTCCCCTGCATTCTTATTTCGCAGTCTGGGAAGATACATAACTGTAGTCAGTGTTTACATATTTTCTGTTTCTTCATGCTATTCAACCTCACACTAAAAAGAAACAGTTATGGTGATACCTGTTGAATTTTTTTTTTTTCTCCTTAAAACTACATACACACACACACACACGTATATGTACACACCTAGATATAGACACACACATACATGTGGATGCAGTAACTGAGACTGTAGCAGAATAAATGTGTCCAAGGATTATCAGTAACTTATTGTGGAAATACTGCTTAAAGTCTGATTTTCAGTCTTGTTTGTCTGTATCAGAGTGACACTCAGGAAAATCTGCAAAGAATAGGAACTCAGACATCCCTGGAGTTCATAGGTAAATTAGGCATATCTGACTATCTCAAGTCTTTGCTATTCTGTGTGTATAATTTAGCTATATAGGGATTGAATTTCATGAGAAACTAAGTATTTACTGTGACCTGAGTGTACTCATCTGCCAGATTTTATTTTCCTGAGCTTAACAGCAGAAACACTTCAGGCTGTTCCAAGTTTTATCAAAAGTTCCTTAAATTATCAGAAATAAATGCATTTGCCACTTCACTTCTATCTCTAGCTGAACTGTTGTTACTGAAACTTGAAAAAAAAAATCAGCATATATAAGAGAAGGGAGTGCAAGGGTTCATAAGTATTTGATATCACAGAGTTTGCATCTCCTTGCTGGAGTGATGAGAAAAGGTTTCCAAGAGCAGCTGAGTTCACTTTTTATTAGAAGCATCTTTTGTGAATTAAGTCTGGAGAGCAGATTAAAGCATAGTACACACCTGATATGTGGCTTGACAGACAGCTAATAAAATCAGTGTCGTGCCTGATGCTGGGTCATCCAGCTCAGGATGCTGGCAGCCTCTTCAGTAGTAATTAGCCAAGTCCTTCCCTGTTCCAGGCTTACAGTCCTGTATTCATCTGTTATCCTTAACGATTTCTCTAGCGTCTTTGGATTCTTAAACTTTTCCCAGAATTTACTCGACTGAAAGTAGGAAAGTTTGCATATGTAGTTATACATCTGGCTGTTCTTACACAAGGTTATTTTATTCAGGCTGGGGCCTGTGGAGTGCACTGTGCTTTTTACTACTGCTGCTGACACTGGCTGCTCTTGGACAAGTTATTTAGTTGCTCTAGGGTTCAGTTTTTCACTGAAAAATTAACAGGGAGATTATAATAATTTCCCCTGGAGTTTTGCGAATCGATTGGCAGGAGGGGGGTGGTGTTTTCTTCCCACATTTCTTTCTGCACTGTCTTGAAAGCCTTTTATTTTTAATATGGTTTTTATAAACCGAGATGATCCAGGTAGATGACTGCATGACCTCCTCTGGCTCTAATGTCTGCGATTCCGTAAGTGCCTGGGATCATTAATGCCCAAATCTCACATTTTGAGGGAGGCAGTAAATTGCTGCTCTTCCCAACAAAAGCTGCAAGGGAAAGGTAAATCAGAGGCAGGACCCCAATCCAAGGCGGCCTTTGTACTTCTCATAATGAGCAGCTTGCTTTGTCTCATCTTCTTTGTAATACAGATAGTCCATGCGGATCATGTTTAACTTCTGGCTCTTCACCAATCCCATGTATGTCACAGCATCAATTAAGAACAAATTCTGACTTACCGCTGCGGGGGAATTGATTGGGGGGGCGCTTGACACTTTTACCTTTGAAGTTGCACTACATCAGTCAAATTATTAATGTATATCTTCAGAAAGAAATCAGAAGTGAAAAGCTACAATTCTTGCATATGCTTGAGCATATAATTTTTATGACTATGCCATTGTGCGTAAGGTATGATGAAGCCAAACAACCCTGACTTTTGATTCATGTATTAAACGGTATGGATAGGGCTCAAAAATTAATATTTTGTCTCAGCACTTTTTATTCATAAATACCATGATTAACATATAATGCCTGCTGAGTCAAAACTCCCCAGTCGGGAACAAGACAGTCCTCTAGCTATAATACACATTTAAGAGTATAATTTATTTTCTGAAATTAAATAGTAAAATACACATTCTAGAAGTTTTTCCCTGTGTGTTTCTGATGCAGTGGTGACTGCAATATTGCTACCTTCTTACCTCTATAAGTAAAAAAGAAAAGAAAAGAAGAGCATGTATAGTGGAGAGCAACACTACCTGTGAGCACACACTTTAAATGCCTGTAATTTAGGAATAAGATTTTTGCTTTAACCAGGGAACCACGTATGAGAGATCCAGCCTGACAGGTTTTCTATTTAAATCCTAGTCGTAGCTGTCCTGTTTGATACCCTGCTAGATTTGATCATGAAGGCTTTAGATCCGAGTGCTCTGATGCAGGAGCAACGAGGATGGCTTCGGGGAGCTGGTCCCGAGCCCCCGCTGCGTTGCCTTCTTGAGAGCACTGCAAGGCTTTTATTTGCTTGCCTGCACTAAACCCAGCGTATATCAGTCTTTGTAGGCTTTTTTTCCTTCCATATCACAACCTGAACTTTAAAATAACGTGTTATTTTAAGACACTGTTTTGTTGGATCTGGGGCTCCTTAGACCTTGGTGACACAGTAAGTATCAGAGAAGCATAAAAGAAGCTGTGGCCTTTGTCTTGAAAATGTAGGGACTCCAAAAACCCACGCTGAAAAGCGTTATGTGATGCAATTTGGCATATAAAAAACACAGTTTGACACTAGGGCATGTGTACTGTTTTTCAGTAGTTAATGGTTTCAACAGTTATATGTTAAAGAAACTGTAATGACATTTAAAATAATATCCTTGTGGTAAATTTGGTCAAGGAGAGCCAGCTCAGAAAACATTGATTTTATTGTTGACACCTGAACCAACTGGAGGGAGATGGAAAAGTAAAATTCGTGAAGATGAAGTGAGATGGTTGCTGCTGCTGTCCTCCAGTGCGGTACCCACTGGCCTGGCCCTTCCCTCCAGGTGCTTGACATCTGAAAAGGTGTCTTGACAGAGACGTTAAAGTCGTCGGAGGAAAAGCCAGGGTTAAAAATAGACCTGAACTTTTGAGCGTTATATAAATAGAAGTCATTACAGATAACACTCTCTGAATTAATCACGCGTGTTCAGAGCTGACCTGAGTGAGAGGTGAGGCTGCTGGCAAATTATTCAGTGTTTTTTGTGGCCCAAATCTAAATTAGAAGAACCTGGGAATTATAAATCACATGCTATCCAGTAAAGAAAGCACCTTGGGTTTGGAAGTGTAATGAGGTCTGTTCCTGTTGTGAGAGCAGGCTGTACCAGCACATCTCATGGCAAGGCAGAAGCCACTGCAAGGGGAAGTTTTTGCACGTTCAAAAGGATAGGGTTTTTTGCATGTGGTTTTTAAAGCAGCTGCACAATTTGGTTTTCAGAAGAGAATCCTCAGTTTTCTTCCAGACTTGTCACATTTTGAGTCTCTGCGTGGGAGTTCCCATACTCCCGGGGAAAAAAAGAAAAAAAAAAAAAAAAAAGAAAAAAAAAAAAAAGAGGCGAATTCATTGTTGGGTTGTTTATCAGCAAGCGCTGCCTGTGACAGGCAGCTGGGCTGGATGCTCTGGAGTGCCAGAGGAAGATCGTTTCCTTTCGTGTTCTGCTCTCTTGCTTGCCTTTGTGTCACAACACAGCACTGGACCACCGCGTCGGCGCGGGCGTCCTGGCATCACCGGCGCGTGCCGCAGCATCGCCCCGTCGGTGGGCAAACCCTTCCCCCGTGTCCCTCCTCGCGCGCGCTGGATGAAGGAAACCAATCCAGATGGCTCAACGTCTTAATTAGCGGTTCCCTGCCTGCCGCGGCTCTGGGTGGCCGTGCACGGGGCCAGTGCTGGCCACGCTGCCCCAACACGTCCTTCCCCCTGGTTTGCGCTTCAGCCGAGCTGCCTAAACTCCAGTGGGAGCCACCCACGGACCCTCCAGACGGCGTGAAGAGCCAAGTGGGTTCCCAACAGCAGACGAGGGATTTTTTCGCAGTACAAGTGATTTTGATACCTCCTGCTAATAACTCGCACGCTTCTACCCCCACCAAGTCCTTCTGAATTGCATATTTAGAGAAGCCCTCTGTCCTCCGTGATGTAAAAACTCCGTTGCTGATTACCTGCGAGGCAGCACCGCGGATAAATACAGTCGGTGAGCATCAAGAAGGCCGAGTGTGTGCGGCACAGCTCCCTGGGTGCTGGGGCTGGCAGCTGCCAGCCAGACCCGGCCAGGTCGGGGACAAATCCTGTGTCCACCCTCGGCTCCCCTTCACCTCGGTGGAGGTGCTGGTGGGCGCCGTGGGAGGGGAGGTCTCTGTCCCTTTGCCATCAGACCAGCTCTTCAGTGACTCCCTTTTTGAGCACGGCGTTTGTGTGCCCCCGGAGAAGAGGAAGGGGGATCAACGATTTCTGAAAAATCTTCTATTGTGAATTCACCGTTTTTTTATGTCTGAAGTTCCAAAGATGTTAAGTTACTTTTCTGAGGGAATCCTCGTGCTTGAAGCAGTGGAAGAGCCCACCGTGGCACAAGGAGACCTTCATGATATTGAATTCGTGCCTGACAAATAACTTTTGTCACTATTAATTGTTTTCTGAAATACTGACTCTGACACTTTTCAGGAATAATCCAAGAAAACTGTCACCTGAGGGGCCAAATGTAATAATACTTATAAGAGAGGAAAGCTTTACGCTTCTCACTTGATATTCCTCACCAACCACCGGCACTGCAGCATCATACAAAGTAGTTGTAGTTGAGTATTAATTTGCCCTAATAGGATTGCTAATGCTAATAGGATTCTGAAGTTTGCCAAATCAAGTAACTTAAATTATGTCTGCTAAAAAAAAAGTAGCATGTTTTGTTAGTAAAGGATTTCTTCTTGATTACGTTTGTTGAGATTTATGTTAGTTCTGGTCAAAAGTGAAACTACTAATTAAAGACTTCCACAGTTACTGCCGTACCGGTGTAGTGCAGTAGAATATAAATGAGTTAAAATCTGTTTCTGTCATATGCCACTGGTAACTGCAATGTCTCAAAACGGAGGAAGCTGAGGGCTCCTTGAATTAGCTCAACATTGAAGAAGTCTGGTCTGAACCACAGCAGTGGATGCATAAACAGCGTACGAGCCCGACTGTATACATCCAGTACCACTGCCTTTGTGAGAAATGTCACCAATTGCGTAGTGAGGTTCAGATGAATCCCAGCCTGTTGCTGGGAGGGGAATACATTTGTATTTTCAAAACTTCTGCCATCAAGTCCTCAACCTGGAGCTCTCTAGTGCGTTGCTACACTGCTCTGCACCAGCCTCTTTCCGTGGAGTTGGTGAACAGATAATCTGCAGAACATATAATCTGCATTCTCTACACTTTAGCTATTAATATGAACAGTAACTAGATGTTTTTAACTAGTTCAGTATTTATTAGGTGCCACGCTCCTGTTAAGGTTTAACTTCTGTTCCGTCTGCGGAGCGCGTAGCAGGGAGGGTTGGGGGAGGTGCAGTTTTCTCTTGGGAAGATAAATGCGAAATAAAGTTTGCCAGTCAGACCAGCTCTCGAAGAAAGAAGACATATTGTCGGCTTGGTAAGATGTAGTTTTGTGTCTCGGGGCTGTGTAAGTATGCACTCGTGGTGACACTTTGATAGACTGACACAGAGAACATTTTGTACGCTGCGGAAGATACAGAAGTCTAAATAAGTTAATACAAACTATTGGCCTTTTAGCCTTCTTCTCTGCCAACCAGAAATTGCATTTTAAAAAAACCCTTGAAACTTAATATGACTTTGCAAAATACGGGTTCTTCGTGGAAAATGTGGCAAGCTCCAGTTTGACTGTTGATTCAACAACTTTTGGTAATTTGGGTTTATACATACCACATACTTCCCCTCCTGTGGCGTAAGTAATAATACGTGTTTCAGTAGAGTCAGATCTTGGAAAATTCTTTCTTACGCTATATGAGATATAGCTTGATACAGCTTTTATAGCAGTTATCTTCTACCAAAATTGCTAGCTGCTCGTTAACTCTGAAATGCATCTTTTCTCTTAAAGGTCAGCATAAAATCAAGTTCATCCCCGAAATGGTGGGACCTATTTTAGAAATGACGCTTATCCCTGAAACCGAACTTCGGAAGGCTACGATCCCAATCTTCTTTGATATGATGCAGTGTGAATTTCATTCTACTAGAAGCTTCCAGATGGTAAGCAGTAAGCTACAGATACTAAAGGCTGTAAGAAAGATTTAATTGCTCTTTGACAAAACGTAAAAATTTGTTGTTATTTCTTATTTTTTAAAGAAAAATATGATTATGGATTTGCTTACTTTCTGTAACTCTTGCGTGGATATAGAGTTTTCATCTGTCGGTTTTAAATTGTTATTGAAGGAAAAATTTGCATGAAGCAAATGAAACCTTCCGTTATGATCCAAAAGAAGAGCAAAGACAGATGTCTTAAATTTTGACTGTGACTCAGGAGAGGAGTCTGCTTCTGAGTTAAAATGGACATAAAGGAAGCCTGATAATGTGGCAAAAGAAACTGTAACCTGTACAAATTTATCATCTCTAGTATCTTATAATTTTGAGACTTTTTACCATTTTATGGATTTTGAAGAGGGAAAAAAAAGATATCCAGCCAGTGTCAATGTTTCTTCATGCTATACAGGCACTGCAAAATCTAAATACTAATGTAGCATTTTTATTCTATTTTATTTTAACTTCTCCCGTGCTGAGGGAAGTCCTTTGAATAAGCACACACAATCTTAGCCTGATTGCATCAACTTTTGAGAGGCAAGTGGAGTGAAAGAAAGTTTCCTAACATCATTCGTTTGACCTTCTTTCCCTTGAAACTTTGCCTTACGGATTGAGTTTAAGACTAGTTAGGCCAGGTGTTGTTATGGTATAAAGCAGTGTAGCTCCTTTACACTGTGAAATTTCTGTCAGTTCAGAATATGACCTTGTGAATTTTACAATAAAGTTTGATGTGTGTTGTTTACTTTTTTCCCTTTATATTGGCAGTTTTCTTTCTTGGATAAAAAAATCTTATCCTTTTCCGTACTTCTTTGTGAACTATTATTCATAACCAGCTCTTAATAAATCTGTAGCCAGAGTAAATGAATATCTGCGTGGAGAGACTTAAGCAAAGGAAATGGCATCAGCTTTATTATTTTGATTTGTTTTGTGCTGAATGGTGTGTGGAAAGGTTGTGAACTGTGTTTTGGATCCATCCAATTACTGCATAATCATTCTTTCTTATGTTTGAATCTGATGATACTGTAAAGATTGAAATGCTCACTGGGATGCCATTTAAACAGTTTCCTGTCAGATGCTCTCTTTTGTTGCTTGTCATTTTTTATTTGTACAATTATATGGATCATGAAAAATCCAAGGGTAACTTTATAGCTAAATTTATGGCCCTATATTTTCTTGACAGAAGGAAACCAGCTTTGTGTGGAATAGTTGGGTGATTTTAATAAATGAATGTCTTAAATATTTCACAGAAATTCTTTTTTGCCTTTTGAGAAGAAAAATGCCTCATGCTTAAGTCAGAGATGTCTTGGGTTGTAGGTACTCAACATATATTTCTTATGTCGGTATAACTTCTTTCTTTATGGACATAGCATTAATATGACAGGTGCAGAGGTAGTAAACCTTTTTTCAGTGCCTTTGGAGTGAACAGTTATGTCTAACGGGGCATAATCAATCTGTCCATTTATAGTTTTGCAGATAATGTAGTTATATAGTTTGCTGAGTATCTCAGATTGGTCTTTGGGGAATGAAGATCACATCTTGTAAAAAGCAGAGAATTATAGAAAAGTCTAGGTTGGATAGGACCTATGGAAGTAATCTGGTCCAAACTGGACCCTTAGATTGGGTTACCCATGGCCATCTCAAGCTCAGGATTGAGTATTTCTGGTGAGAGAGGTTTCACCGTGTCTCTGGGTGACCTATTCCAATGTTTAAGACTTTTCTTCATATATCCAGATGGAGTTTCCCTGATTCGGCTTGTGCCTGTTGCTGCTTGCGTTGTCACTGTGCGCCTTGTAGATAGAGTAATTCCATCTCTTCTGTTAGGTGCTAGAAGGCTTGAGTCTGCTTTTCTCTAGGCTGAACAAAACTAATTCCCTCAACCATTCTACAGGCCAGGTTCTCCAACTCTCTGCTCATCTTGGTGGCCCTCCATTAGACTATCTCCAATTTGTCAGTCTTTCTTGAGCTGGGGGAACCAAAGCTGGACGCAATATTCCAGCCATAGCCCAACAAGTGGAATAATCCTGTTGATCCTGTAGCTGTATTCTTGGTGCAATCAAGGACACATCTTGCCTCCGTTGGAGGGGCACACTGCTTCTTCATGTTCAGCTGGCTGTCCACCAGGTCCTTTCCAGCAGAGCACCTTGTACTGCTGCTTACAACTATGCCATCCCAGATTAAGGACTTTTTAAGTTTCTCTTTCTTAAATATTGTGCAATTTCTTGTTGGCCGTCTTTCAGACTGTCAAAGTCATTAAACCACCACCCTTTGAGATCAGCAATTTAGCCACTTTTTCCACCCATCTCTTAGTCTGTCTATCCAGTCCATACCTTACCAAGATGTCAACACATATGCTTTGGGAGACTGTATAAAACACATTGCTAAGATGGAGACAACCACAGCTCTTCATCCTCTGAGCAGATAGTTTCATCACAGAAGGCAGTCTGGTTGGTCAGACATGATTTACCCTCGGTAAATCCATATTGGCTTTTCCCAGTCACCTTCTCACCCTTCTTGTACCTGGAAATAGCTCCCGTGAATGCTTGCTCCATGGCTTCTTCAGGAACTGAAGTGGACCTGCCTGGCTTAAGTGATAGAAATAGATTAATTTAAGTATAACCAGTACCTGGGCAAGCTTTCATACTTAATGTGTCGGTGTAATGTACTGCATTGTGTCATCTATATGCAACTACCAATTGTCATTGTCCAGCAGTGCTTTCAATGAGAACTTAAAAATTGAATGGTTGGCTGCTGTTAAACTAATCTGCCGGAAATCCCATTATCTAACCTTATTAGTCACATCAACAAGGGTTTAGATTGGCTCCGCTTCTTCAGCAGATGTATAAACCTCATGATTTGTGGGGGAGGAATTTACATTTTTTTCAGAACTTAATGCTGTGATGGCTTGTGTTATAAACAGACAGTTTTCCCCATGGCAGTTTTAATTTCAGTATGAATTGGTTTGCCTGGTAAACCAGTAACAGACAGAATGGATTTTTTTGTTCTTCCAGTATATATAGCCCTGAGAAAAAACAGAAGATAAATTCCTTTTGTTTTTACAGAACTAAATTAAAGGCCGACTGAATTAAAAGCTGGAGTTGCTCATTTTTGTCCTCTCCCTCTTAAAGTGCTTTGAAGCCTGTATAAGGCTTCAAAGTAGCCTGTACCTCAAAGCATGAATTCGATTCTGAAGTCAGTGTGGGACTCAAACTTCTCTACAGAAGAAAATGCCTCCTTCTCCGCTTTGCTTTTTTTGCTTTGCCTGTTTTACTAGCGAACCCTCTAGATCAAAGGGAATATGTCAGAGCCACAGGAGCGATGAAAGAGAATTGGTTTGATTGTTCAAGGCCCGGTCAGGTGAACATGATGGATCCTGTGGTGACAGCAGGAGAGAAAGTTCATCATGAAACAATCATTCAGCTGAAATGTGGAATTCAGAGCATAAAAAGCCCCGACGTCCTGATTTTGCTGCATGTTCCTCCCAGTTGTCACTTGCTCTAGCTCCATTTCCTGTGAGCACTCCTGTTTGCCTACCCAAAACTTTTAACTTACCTTTTCTGGACTTGTGTCATCGCTGATGTAATGTTCTTGTTGTGAGTTGAACCCACTCACGGAGAGGTGCCAGTGCAGGAACTGGTACAAAACAGTGCGTGGAAGAAGTGGGAGGAGGCAGAGGGAGGTGTTGGGCACCTTCTCCCTATCTCAGGGCACTGCGTCATAGTACAGTTTCTTTTAACTGATCTGGTACAATTTAATTAGTAGAAGTAGCTTACTTTAGGAGCCAAAAAAAAACTATTAACAAAATAAGGTAAGGGATTGAGTCAGAAGTGCTACCCCAGCCTGTTTTCCCCAACATAATAACATTTCTCATCAAGTAGGAAGGAAGGGAAGACTCTCATCCTTCAAAGTAAAATCTGAGAGGTGTACCCCTTGACACTGCAGTACCGAGCAAGAAGAAATTAGAACTCCCATATGTCTAGTTTTCAGACTGAACCGCATTACTGAGGAGTATCATCAGGGTCTGGTGGTGTTGGCATCAGCGATGTAAGCATACAAGCTCCAGCATGTGTTCTTACCCTGCTAGAGTAAGGAGTTGTGTAAAAGTAATGATCTGAGGAAAGAGCCCCAAAAAAGCAACAATGCATCTGTCTTGTTTTCTGCAAGTAGGAATGACAATTAGCATAATGGCACCATAGCCGAAAAGGTAGTAAGATGATACAGAAATGCATAAGTAATGAATGCATAATGCAGTATCATATAGAAATGCATAATATATGAAAGCGTGGTGCAAAATCATATAGAAATGAATAATAAATGAACGCATTATCTATATAATTACTTAAATAAAACCATGGGTGCAGCTAACATATCTCTACCTAGCATTCTGTTGTGAAGAGAATTAAATGAGTAAAGAGCAGAAGAAACAAAGAAAAAAAATTTTTAATTCATTTCTAACATTTAACAATAAATCTCAGTATCATCAAGACAGCCATACTAGCATTTTTATTTGCAGTGTAGTTTCTTGTCGCTTATCAATGAATTTAAAATTTATATAGTTCTCCTTAATGAGAAGTACCTAGTTTATCTGAATCTCTCTTGACTTTTAGAACCTGTGATTCCTTATGAAGTCTTTTACCACTTCTGAGGCCTGTGTTTAACCTCCCTTTCCCTGTGCCGTAGATGTGCAGAGAAAACAGAAGTTAATGACTTGTCCAAGTTTCTGTGATGCTGCAGGTTCTCCTCTGCAATCCCACTGAATGTGCGAATTCAAAGAAGGCATCCCCCACAAAGAATTAATTTCAATAAGTAACAGTTTTAGTTTTCTACAGTTGAAACTTAAATGTGTAAGTTTTTCTTGTTTTCTGGTCTTGCGGAGAATATCTGTATTCCTCCCTCATCTCTACCTGAAGAGCAAGGGAGAAAGGTAATGCAGTAAGTCTAGAGACCTCCAAAATCACCTATGAAATGGCTGCCAGGTCTGTTTGTGGAGCAGAATGCTGGGGGAAAATAGGAAAGGAAACAGATGAAACTGTTGGGAATTACCACAAACTTTCATAGCAGCCTTGGAACAAAATTTTACAGTACTTGCATGCTGTTTCTTCATTAGGACTGATTTCTAGTGGTGTTATCTGTCACTTGAATTTTATATGGCAAATTCGTTATTATCTCATATCAACACAAATTTATAGCAGCTTGGAGGGTTGAAAGTCCTCCTCATCTACAGCTAGATTAAATTGTCAGTCAGTGCTACAAATATAGCCTGATCACACTTTAGGTAAACCTAAAACCAAAAGTGATTAGTTGAGCTGACACTTGAAGACACTAGATAGCTTACATTGATTTATTTTCTCCAGACGGGAGATTGTAACAGAAGCAGTGGATATACTCTTTGCTCAAGTTCAAACACACGTCCTGAAGAGAAGCTGAGATCTTGATCAACTGCAAGGAAAAGTTGATGATAATTTCCTGTAATCTTCCTACCATCGCCCCTCAAGCTTTCACTGTTAGCAGAAGGATGTGAATCTAACTCATTGATGGTCCCAGGTATACCCCCTAAGCCTCCAGAAAGACCCTCAGCAAGTGTCACTGGCTGTAACATAAACATTAAAAATTTGGCACTTCTTCACTTGAGAGTAAATTCCATCACAATAATTGCAGGCCTACTTGGTGCTATGTTACGCATTTAAATTAAAAAAAAAAAAAAAAAAGGAAAAATTGAGACTTTATCAACAGGCACCAGATGCAGTGTCCCAGAGCCATTAGTTTGTGTGACTCCAGGGCCACGTTCTTACTCCCATTGTGGAAGACAAGAGCTCTATAAACCTCATCTTGTGTTGATGAAACGTTCTTCTGTGGAAAGACCGCAGAAGGAATTTTAACTATGTTAAATAACGTTTAGTCATCTGGCTTGCATGAGCTGTATCACATCGATTCCTTGAGAAGTATCAAGAATGATTGAAGAGCAAAGATATCATTAATAGTCCTTAAAACCCCAGAAATGCTGCAAGTCTGGGTCTGTTCAACCCAAGAGAGCCATTAGGGCGACGACCCAACAAAGACTAGGTTTACAGAAATGTAAGTAAAATTGATGTCAGGAAGATACTCAAGATCCTGTATGACAAATGTAATTGCTCTTCTTTGTCTGAGTAATCTCTTGCTAAAAAATATATCACCTAAAGGGCTCACACTGGCAGCAAGTGTCATTTTTCACATTGGTATAGAAAGTCAATTTCTTTCTGATCTCATTAGAGAACATGAATTTTGTGACTTCTCTGTTTCATCATTGTGTTGCTTCAGTGTTTTACTTGACACGTCCTTGTACTATGGAAACGTGTTTCAGCTGATGTTTGCTTCTTAGAGGGGGTGGATTGCATTATTCTCCCTTTTCTCATTTTCCTGTCATTTTTTGCATAATGGATTCACTGTATTAAAAACCTTATTTTGCTTCACTTTTCATTCATTCCTTCACAAGGAAAGAAGTGAGGGAGTGGAACAGGTTACCCAGAGAGGCTGTATAATCATCCATCCATGGAGACGTTCAGTCCTTGGCTAAGCAAGTCACAGTTGGCCTGATGTAGTGTTGGCAATAATCCTGCATCACCTGGAAGGTTGGACAAAATGACCTTCAAGGTCTCTTCCAGTCAGTGCTTCTATGATTCTGTGGATCATTTGGGGAACAGAAGAGCACCTTTGAAATATTTTAATCTGACGCTTCAGGTTTCATCTTTAAAATGGTCCCACATAATAATAAAAATTGGTTTAAGATGGAATATCTGTTGATTGGGTCCCTGGTTGACTTTATTGCTGCATGCATGATACAATCTGTAGTTCAGGTTTCCTGACAGCTCACAGTTCATTTGACTAGTGTGTGTTGTTAGCCTGTATCCTGAATTTGCTCCGAGCAGTAAGTGAGCAGGACTTCTTCTGCCATTATTCGTCATGATAGCTTGTAGTCACTGTTCTCAGAGCTGGGATTTTTTTTTTCTCTGTTTGTAACACAGTTCTGGTGGGCTGCCAGGTAGCATGTGAAAATAAATTTCCGAACTCAAATGTAGAGGAAAAAAAAATCTGGAGTTACACATGAAGGTAGGAAGTGATGCAGACACCACTGCAGTTAATGCTGAGAAGAGCATGGAGTCTTGGAAAGGGAGACAAAAACAGTGTCCTGGGTCTGACTGGATTTTTACATTACTGCTCTTGAGTCTCAAGTTGTTGAGAGATCAAGTTGTCCTAACAAAGGGGAATATTTTGGCAATGTCACAATTTGTCAAGCAAATCTTTCATACCAGTGTGTGTTTCTCCCTCAAAAGGATTTTTCTTAGCGAAGCAGGAACTTCTCTGCAGTCCACGGCCACATTTTGTACGCAGGTGCAACTTGGCCATCATGTGTGTGTTCACAACTGCCGTGGTCTTCAGCAGAAAAGGACCTTCCAGGGGAGCAGGAAGGCTCCTCCAGCTGTGGGGGTGGCCGAGATGCTTCTCCTCACCCTTCCTGCTGCGGGCTTGTCTCTTGTTCTGCCCGGGTTTACCTTGGCCCACGCATGCAGCAGTTATTTCAGGAGAAAGGGGTTGTGGCAGAGCTAAGGGCGTGTCTGTTTAGGACTTGGTAGAGGCGTTATGATAACCTCTGTTGGCCAAGGTGGGACTGCGTGGGCCGAGCTTAAAATGCAGCGTACGTTGGCAGGAAGAGATCGGTGGACACAGCTACTACACCTCCTCAAAGTGATATAAGTTAAGGTAGTGAAAAGCACTCTCTGATCATCAGAGTTCCATCATGACGTAAGTCCGTTGGCGAGGGTGATCTGACACTCCTCGCTGAAATAATTATGCCAGCAGAATTTCACAGCGTGGACTAAAAAAAATCCAGTTTCTCTTCCTGGGTAAACCGATCTGAGCCTGGCTGCTGGCTGGAGATAACAACCTGTCTTCCCCAGCTCCCCCGTGGGGCTGACCATATAGAAAAGCCCCGTCCCCTCTTGCCCCCCCTGCCTCGAGGTTGCTGTGCTGGGCGGTGGTGCCACGGCCGGGGCAGCAGCACCAGTGGGGTGGCCACAGGTGGTCCCTGCTTGGGGTTCAGCCTGCTTGCCACACCGCAGGTGGGAGCGCAGCTGAGCTCACCCCCTCTGAGCAGGCACCTGGGGTGCTCGGGGACGGTGGCCCCACTTGCCTGGGTGCCCGTTACCAACCCTTGACTGAGGCTGCGGGGCTGGCAGGGCGCTCTGTGGAGACTTTTTTCTTCCTAGTGCACAGATTTTGATTTTTACCTTTCAGCATAGATATCAGCTACAGGTGACCTCTACTGCAACGCTCTTTGAGATTGTCCTTCTTGCCTCCTTGTGGTTGTTCCCACTGAAAGAAAAGTCTGATTTTGCTTACAGGCTTTCAGCAAAAGCCTGCCTTTTCCAGTTACATCGAGCCCCTCTGTGGTCACTAAAGTAGATAATTTGATCATTGGAAATAATTTATAAAGGACAAGAAATGCTGGTATGTTACTGGTACGACTTAAGAGGTGGGGAAGTGTAGCACTGGGAAGGAAAGCTCATGGCTTGAACGGAGGTGCAAGAGTGGGTCCTGGGCACCACTCGCATGGTCTGCTGCTGAGCCCGGCCGTTGTGGAAGTGCCTCCTTGGTCTGGAAGTATATCAAGCTACAGACAGTCCATTCTTTTATCAAGTGTACATTATATGCCGTTAATATTAACTGCAGATGCAAAGTACATCTCTTGACATTTACAAAATGTTAGTACACTTTGTTCTTGTGTAGGTGGCTCTTTGCTTCTCTTCCAAATAGTTAGGGACTGCTTAAGCCAGTGACACTGAAAAAACTTGGAAGACAATTGTTCTGTCAATAAACTCCCTCTCTGACTAATGAGCTCCCATTGCCCTGCCACAGGCTTCCTTCTCACCCGGGCTCTTCTGCTGAGGTCCCTTTTTACAATCGCTTGTGTCACTAATGGTGTGGATGTCTGTGCTTATTTAACAAAGAATTAGGAATCCGATGGCTAGATGGACTCGTTACATAGCAGCAGGCCTAGAGTGATCCCTCCTGAGCTAACAGGTTGAATTCATTCCTAACTTGGGCCCTAGGGAATGTAGCAGCAACAGGGAAAACCCACTGAAAAAACCCATTGAAAATCCAGTGAATTATCCCGTTTGCATTTAAAATATATTCTAATGGCCACTTAAGTTTGCATTCTTTTATTATTGCTCAAATAAAAATGTTACTCTTAAGTTGCTTGAAACAACTTCCTTCCCCTCTGCAGTGACTTATTAATAGATTTGTTAATTGAATTGTGCCCCACTGTGAGTCAGTATCTGTATGCTAAACAGGGATGTTAGTGATGCTAGAGTGTACATCTGGCTGAGTTATCCAGCCTTAGATGTTATATATCCTCTCTCATAGAGCTTTCAACATTTTTGTATTTGACTTTTGTTGCTATTATCGTTATTGCAGAGGACATTCTGTGCCTGGCTTTGTGTCTTCTTTTTCCCTGCCCTCATTCTTGTCATTAATCTCCTTATTTAGTTTTTCATAATGCAAATATTTACACTTCATTTAACAACATGACCAATGATTTCTTCAACAAAGAAGTCCTTGTAGGGCACGAGATCATTGTGGGTAGTCTAATATCAGAGACTGCAAACTCTTGAAGTTGATCAAGCTTTAAAATAGTGGCTAAACATCTCACTGAGATACCCAACCAATCTGTGAACCATTGAGGCTACAGTAATAAAGTGAAATATTTGCCATCTGATTATTTACGCTTGCTTTGTTTAATTATAGTTTGAAAATGAGATCATCACGAAACTGGATCATGAAGTGGAAGGAGGCAGAGGAGATGAACAGTACAAAGTGTTATTTGACAAAATGTAAGTGTTGATCAGCGGCGAGATTTATGTCACAGTAAAGTCAGGAGAGAGAGCAATTAGACTACAATGAACTTTGTAGCCCAGAAATAATTAAAATCTGTTAATGATGCATAATATTTAAAATTGCACCTGAGTCAAGGTTTTTTCAGCATGTCATTAACAAGGCAAATGTAATTGGTTTTTCAGTCTCTTGGAGCACTGCAGAAAACACAAATACCTTGCTAAGAGTGGAGAAACTTTTGTGAAACTTGTTGTCCGCTTAATGGAGAGGTTGTTGGACTACAGGACCATAATGCATGACGAGAACAAGGAGAACCGCATGAGCTGTACTGTCAACGTGCTGGTAAGCAAAGAGAAGTCACCAGCCTGAAATGACTACTGCATGCTTAATTTTACACCCTTTACAAAAGATTTGTATCAAACAGAATGCGTGTTGGGATTCTCACGAAAGTTCAAAATACTTGTGGGGTTTTTTTCCTTTTTTTAATGAAGATGAATCTATAAAAACATGGGTTATTACTTCTTTAATTGATTCTAAGGAAGGATTTAAGAAGTGTCTTAGGGCCTGATCTCTGAGGGCTGTTCATTGACATTTACAATTGATATATTGAGCAACTTTATGAAGGAAAACACTTTGACATACAGAACATTGGAGTAATATGCAGTTTACTACTGAAATTTTCATGCATTTGCAATCCCATTTGTGTTCTGCTTGCTGCTAAGCTGCCATATTCAAAATTTTTGAAGAAATATGAGTGTTACTATTTCATTCAAAGCCGAATGTGAAAATTCCTCCTCTTAGATTTACAAGTTCTGGAATATCTACTATATATTACAAACCTTTGTCCATTTAGGCTAGAGTTGGGAGAAGGAGCAGTTGTCCCCATAGCACGCACAGAGTGCTTTTTGGCCAAGGCATTAGAGTGTGAGAATTTACTAGCTCAAAATCAGCTCATATTGAAAAATTACATCAAAATAAATTTTGGAGACCCCCAAACATAATACTAGCTAAATTTGATTTTTCCAGTAGGATTCAGTATTAAACTGTTAGTCACTAAGGATTCATAGCTTTCATCCCTATATCATGGTCAAAGCTTTCATTTCGTTTAAGGATGTGGGACACAAACAGTGTTTACCATTTATGTGATACGGCTGATAGATGTCGTGCAGGCTGGTTTGAAAAGGTCTGAGTAAATAGTTTGTGCCTTTAGCACTTCCAAGCAATGCAAACGTCCTCCCCTTGTGCAGTGCAGCCTTTATGCCGCACTGTCCCATCAGCTACAAATGAAACAGTGCCCATTAGAACGGGAGAGGAGACAGAGATACCAGATCAGAAATCGGGATTTTATTTTTAGTTTGTTTTTCCTCTCTGCACACACCAAGAAGCATCGGAATGTTTAGGAAATGGGAAAAGAGGAAGAACTCGGAGAGTGCTCACTGGCTGTTAATCTAGCGAGTGCCATTAGTTCACCCACAGAAAAGTCACAGCATCCTCCTGAGAAGAATTGGAGTGAGGAAAGCCTGCCAGTTCGCACCAGGCAAGATAGGAAATAAAATATCACATACACCATGCGCTCTAAAACATGACAACAATTTATGAAACTGGGAAAAATTCCTTAGGAAGGTGAATTTATTTCTCCTTCCCTTCATCATAATACTCCGAGTCTCTCCTAGTAATTCTTGCCACACTGACCGCAGGGGGGACCGATGGCGTGTTAGTTTTGTTTTCTCTAAGTGTCTCTAACAGCATCTTCTGATGATGATTTTTGTTATCTGAATTCTTCGGGTATTTGCAGTTGATAAATTGTGTGAGCAATTTGCTGCTGTCAGGTTAAATCACCATGAGATATCCACACACCACCCTGCCACTGAAGTCTGCAGGAAATGCAGGACAGCATCGCAGGGCGGAACTTTCCTTCGGTTTTGGTGATTTCGAACTTCAGCTTGATTTTAAAGTCCCATTTGCCCTCCAGGGCTCGCTCAGTCTTTTCATCATTCTCCAGGCACCTGCCTTTGCTAAAATCCAGCCCAGGGCTGATACTCGGCACAATTCCCACCCGAGGTCTCAAAGACTTCTTAATTGGGACTTTAATAATGCAGAGGCTTTCACAGGATTAAGTTTGTCTGTATTGACTGTAGTTTAAGTCAGAGGTTTTGATATGCATTTAAGCCAGTGCCGATGTTAAAAAAGAAAATCATAGAAGCCCTGTCTGCTCCCTCAGCTGCTTGTTCCTACCCCTGCCAATCCTGGTGCAAGCACGCGTGCCGCCAAGGTAGCAGAGCAGATCCGAGGAGGGATCTTGCCGAAAGCTCACGCTCTTCCCCTCGGGTTGTTTCCCATCCCCACGGGTTCCTCGGCCGTGGAGCCGCACGCGTGTGGGCCAGCCCAGCCTCGGGGGGGGGAACCCCCACCCGAAGAGGGGGCAGGAGCAGGGGTGGCTTTTTTGGGGGGAGAGGGAACTCCAGTGAATGTGAGGTGCGTCTGGTCAGCCTGCCGCCCAAGCCTCGGCCCGGTTTGGCGGATTTGCTGTAGCTTTTCGAGCTGCATCAGAAGGGCAGAGCAGCTGGCAGCAATATTAGGATTAAACGGTTTTTACGCTATTGATCCACCCAACTCGGAAATCTCTTCTGCTTTAAAAAGGCAAACAAAACACAAGTAAGGAAAAACAGCAGACATTTTTTGTGTGGTTCAGTTTGTCTTTTTGAGTTGAACTTAAAGCCAGTGAGCAGTTTTGTCAACTAAAATGGTATATCCACCAGATAATCCGTCATTTCCAACGGCGGTACGTAGAGTCTACCCTGTATTTCGGTTCTCTTTGAAAGGAACAGTTTTGTATTGGGCTTATGCATCTATTAATACTGGGTTTGTGCATCTATTAGTGGCTACTCAGACTGGTATAATTGAGCATTGAAATACATTTTAATTCAGTGAAGGAGAAATTATTTGGTATTTTGTTTTCTTAGGTATATTTTAACTTTTGAGGGCAAACTTTAAATTAGATTCAGAAATGCCTTTAATATCTCACCCAATTTATCATATCTTGCATTTACAATATTTATAGTGTTAACTAGTTTATCTCAAGACCACAGGCATTCAGACATTTCTGAAAAGAGTGATGATAACGTGTGGCATATGAAACCAGATAAATAACACTAATCTAACTTTCTATTTCCAAAGGAACTATCAGAATTCAAGAGCAGATGATGTATTGCTCAACTAAGGTTTAGAGTTCTAAATCCATAGAACAACTGTTGCTTAAAAATTATTGTTTTATATATTACAAAATTTCAACTGAAAATGGTTAATGATGTGTGACTTGCAAATGCCAGAAGCAAATTTCTAGCAGTACTGTTGTTGCAAATTCTTAACCTTTGCAATGAGACGTAAGCCTTAATACACTACATCATGAAACATCACAGCATCAGACTTTATAGGTTAAATAACTTGTGTTTTATCACTAGAGGCAAATTTCATTTTGCAGGTTTGAGGTTGATGCTATGCAATTATTAATTTTTAATTTAGAACATGTTCTGTATACATTCCACACTGTGAAATCAAAGACTTTGTAACAAAATTATGTTTTTCAGAATTTCTACAAGGAGATTGAGAGAGAAGAAATGTACATAAGGTTTGTAAACATGACCATTGACAAACTCTGCATGACTTACTGTAGTGTAATTGGAGAAAATTAAGCTCATATTAAGCAGTCACTTGGGGGCTGGAGGAAAAGAAGTAATGAAAACACATACTTTGACTGAACCTTAAGTACATTCGAAAGCTTATCTTCACTGAGGACAATGAGATTTAGAAATCAGAGTAATGAGATTTTTTTTTTTGTCCACCCCCTCCAACTCCACCAGTTATATTACGATGAACACTGAAATACACATGAAGAAAATAAATAAGTCAAAAGAAAGCTGAGCAAAGAAATGATTTTGCCTCCTGGTGAGGCACAGAATCTGTGACTTGGGGTAAAAAGGACTATTAAATAACACCATGGCTGATATTTATTTTAAATGTAAAGCTTTTAGGAACCTTTCAAAATCTATTTTCACACAAAGTAAAAATGGTAATATGTTGTGCTTTTTGTAAACTTCAGGGTTCCTAGTCCTCTGTTTGTACTTTGGCTTAAAATTGGCTAGACCGTTGTGCTAAAATGATGAGGCTTGTTTTTTTAATGCTATTTTAGGTATCCAAATATTATTCATTAATTCATTCTCAGGTGCTTGTTACTTTTTTGGAAGAATTTTCACTTGTGAACTCACTTCCTGTTGTTTAAATGGTTTTAATTAGTGCTTTATTATTTTGCAAAAATAAAATAAAATCTAGCAAAAGTCAGGATTGATAACTGTGGACAAGCATGTAAAGTTATGAGTCATAGGTCTGCCCAATTCAGCATCTCTGTAAAGATAAGTTGTCTCTCACTGTCAAATCCCCACCCCAATTCTCTTATATTTCTGTTAATAAACTTATAATGTGTCAGAATGAGCATCAGAGTTCTGTATTTTCACTGGCTTTGTCAAAATACAGTATTAATAGTTTGTCATATTAAAAAAAAAAAAAAAAAACAAAAAACAAAAAACAAATAAACAAACAAATGAAGATAATTCCCTTCCAGAGGTGTGATGATATTGAAGTTAAGGAAGATGACTTAGAACTGTCTCCATAGCTGAACAATTAGAGCAATATCTCTTGCACAAAGTCTGTACTGGATTCATTACCCATCACAAGTCATTTATATGCATTGGAAAAAGAACACAGTTGAAATGCAAATGGTCCTAAAGCTTGTCTGCACACAGAAGCCTGAGCTTCAAATAATCCTACATATATGTAGTTGTTTGAAGACAGAATTGAACCACTGTGGTCTTCAAAATAAATTATTTTGTAACATTTAAGAACCAGCCTTTTTTAAGAGCCATTGTTCTTATTACTTGCAGGTATTTGTACAAGCTGTGTGACCTGCACAAAGAATGTGATAACTACACGGAGGCTGCCTACACGTTACTTCTGCATGCAAAGCTTCTTAAGGTAAACACCAAAATGCATTGCAAGTTTTGAAAATCATGTTAGCACTAACCAATCTTAGTATTCTTTATCACTCTTAGAAGGCCAGCACTTCAAACTGATTAACAACTGCTGCTGATGTCAGTTTTATCTTTTGCACATGTAATTAATAAGTGCAGGAAAACAGCCCTCTGCCATTAGTGTATGTCAGAGCATGCTTTATTCATCTTGATCTGAAATGAATGGAAGTGCGGTCAAGTCAAGACCTCAAGTTATAAATTGCAAAGCTGTAATTTAAATTTCTTTTAAATATCAAAATTATGTAATGTGTGGAAGCATCTGAACACATATTTTAGTAAATCAGCTCTCCACAACATTGTTTCTGCCGAGGCAATACAAGAGACTTCTAGAGACTGTTATCAAGTGCTCTTGGGCACCTGTAGATTCAGTTTTGATTTGGAAAAATTAGAGAGAGATTCAAATGGTCATCTTTCCAAGTTCATGCCTTTAAAAGGTGCCTATGATTTTAATGCAGTGTTACACAGCTTATAGCACATTTAAAGAGCCATAACAATATTCCTGTTCTTCAAGAAATGTTTTGGCGTAACCTGCAATATATATAAATAAAATGTTATGTATACAAAGTGCATGTAAATAAAGCATTTGAGTTTTTAACACTATATAGGGTCAGTCAGCAATGTATTGAAGCCGTACTTCATTAAGCATTAATCTCACTGAAAACTTTCTGGATAGATGGTGTTGTCTCTACCCTGCAGCTTGTTTACAGGATTGTGTCACAAACGTGGCAGCATGTGCCACCTGTGTTCCCGGCGTTATCGTATAGACGGATGCCGCGCTCAACAGCAGACACTGGTGTCAGGAATTCACATGTTTAACCTAGCCTAGCCATCACTAAATTACTGGCAAGGTGTTTGATGTTTTGATTTTTAAAAGCGGTCAGCAGAAAAAGTAAAAATCTAAATTTGATAAGAATTAGTGTTTTCTGAAGCATTTGCTTTAGTCCAATTCTTCTTCCTCACGTCTCAGCGCCCACAGTGAAATCTTTGTCCGGAGAGACCCGGGTCTCTCTCTGTTCCCCTCGAGCATGGTAGCACCCGTGGCCGTGTGGGGCAGACTCAGGGACAGAATAATGGAGAACTGCATTTTCCCCTTCATCTATTTCTCATGGCAACGGCCAGCATATTGCAACCTTTTGTATTATTGCAAGCATTTGATGTTATTACAGAATCTATGCTAATGGCACCTCATTTCGTGAAGAAAATTTATCTCATTCTAAGCGGTGATTTGTTCTTAGCAATCTTTGATTTAATCTAAGCAATCCCAAGCGAAATGCATGTGTAAAATATCTATTTTGAAAAGTTGAAAAGTGGAAGGTGTTAAATTAAATGCTTCTAATGGATGCGCTGAGAATTACTCGTACCTCCAAACCGAGTAAACTGACTCAAAGCTATAATAAGACTAAACATAATGCAGAGCGTACATGTGCAATTTAAATTAAGATACTTTGAAATGCATTTACTGTATTTTAAAATAAATAGAGGGTTACTGCACGAGAAAACATCAGTGAGATTCATCTGGAGTGCCAAAGTACTGCAGCAATAGCTTTCTACATGGCTAAAAGCAGGGGCAGTTGTTGGACACACCTGCTGGATGCAGTCACTTCTTTGGTAATGCCATTTTCTGGGCTGAGACCTGTGTCAGAGAGGTGAAGGTGTGAGGAGATGGCTCTGCCACCTCCCGTCACACAGGCTGGGGCCCGCGGGTGGAAGTTGGAGCGCGTAACTCGCCGAGCCTGGGGCTACAGAGATCTCTCTCGTTCCCACGGGGGACGTCACACAGGACTGCCGAGTTGTGTGATCCTTGCTCGGCACACTTCACACGCATGAACCTTCTAGACAAGATAAATCATTTATTCCCGTCCACAGGTGCTGCATTTTCTGGAAAAATGAGGGAATGAACCGTGCCGTAAAATGTCAGTCAAACTTTTACCTGTTGTGGCTTGAAATTGTTAGTCACTGTGCTTTAGGTCACCTTAAATTGGCGTTTAGCCAACTTTGTTTTTTCTTACAGAATGTCTTCGGAGACCAGATGAGTATCTTAATATACTCCTTTAATTTACTGGAAAGAAGTACCCAGTTTTCTTTTCTTACAATGCAAATCGATAGAAGATGGCAAATATAAGTGTAGTATTTGTTGCAGGTTTACATCACTAAGTGAATGTTTATAAATATAATTACACTGTATTTTGGAATTATTTTATTATAAAATTGTGTTTATTCATCTAATACAACACCCTGTTACTACCAGTAGTTAGCAGTGGATGGAGGAGTTCCATATTGCTTGGGAAGCAGCCATACTGTGGTGTGTGTAACTTTAAGCAATTGAGTTTTTCTGTCAAACCTTAAGGACAGGATTTTCAATGGCGGTCGTCACTGGCATATATTTCATCACGCTTATTTTAATGGGATCACCTTTAGGTCAAGTCTGAGAGCTTTCAAGAATTTCACCTGTAAATTTGCAAGAGGGCTGTCTCTGCGAGAGAGAGCCACCATTGTTTTCTCCAGATTATTTCAAGCTGATGAAGTGCACTTAAGAAAAGAAGCTTTAGTTGTATTTTTAACCCATTTAGTCAAAACTAACAGAAGATAGGGGCTCTTAGTATGATAAAAAATACCATTACATTGCAGACTTCATGAAGTTGGTGTTGCTCAGAAACACAACTCTGTACCACGAAGTAATCAAAGTTGTCTGTTTTAGCAAAACACCAACATTTTAGCCATATTAAGAAGCAGTTGGGTGAAATTTAATAAGATACAGGAGGTAGAACTGGATGATGTAACAGTAATTCTGTAACTAAATCTGTAAGTTGCTGATCTCTGCGTGATCTCTTCTTCTTTTCCTAAAGTTACAGAATTTCTTTCAGTGGGCAGTTCTCCTACTTTAGTAACTTTGATTTTCAGAGAAGAAAGTGAACAGTTCTTTAATTAAATTTTTTTGAATTCGGTTTCTTAAGGCAACAATAGGACATTGGAGCACCTGTCCCTGCCTCTTCTTCAATCTATGAGAAGTTGCGTTTGATTTCATGGAGGTTTGTGATTTGGTTTGGTAGAGGTTTGTGAGTCTCTGAAGTATTAATTTCCAGCTAGCCTCATGAAAATAAACAGCTATGGAAAGGTAGGCCATCCCATTAGTATCCTGGCTAGGGAAGAGGCTGCAGTATTGCCTCACCCCCGGGTAGGTCGTAGGGAATATTAGCAGGAGGATGAAGGGAGGTGAGGAAGAGGTGATAGGAATGGGGGAGTCCAGAGGTTTCAGGTGCATCTGTCCCCCACTGGACACCAGAATGTGCAGGTGCAAGGGAGGAGGAGGCAGGGAACTGCTTGGTTCTCTCAGGCTTAGGAGGAAATCCATTTAATGCCCGTGCCTTCTTCCTCAGCCGTTAGGCATTTGCTGGAAGAGCAAGAGCTACTAATTGCAGACAGGCTGTGTAAAGTTAGTGGCGCTTTTCCGTGCCTCCAAATGTTCTCGATGAACTTGAGCTGTTTCATTTCTGTGCCTGCAATCCTTTCCGTTCGTATTGGTGTATCTTGGCTTCGGGGCTTCTCTCAACGTAAGCCTGCAAGTGTTCGCTATGCTTTCGGCAGGTTGTACCCAGCAGCAGGCCAAGGTCAGTCTCATCAAACTCACCGAGGAGATGAAGCCTCCTCCAGAAGCTTCCTTCCAGCTGATACATGTAATTAGCCTCCAATTACAGCATTCAAATAAATGGTCCTTGTGCCCAAGGAATCAAAGAACACAACTGCAAAAAAAAAAAAAAAAAATCTTTGTTCAAAAGAATTAGCTGTGCTACCACTTCTTTAAATAAAGAATGCGCATTTTATGTAGCCTAATTTTACTGACACATTTCATAACTTTTGATTTGCTTTCACTTTTCCTCTCTTTCTTGTATGATTTAGTGGTCAGAAGAAGCATGTGCAGCTCATCTCACCCAGCGGGATGGATACCAGGCTGCTACTCAAGGACAGTTGAAAGATCAGCTGTATCAAGAAATTATCCATTACTTTGACAAGGGCAAGGTAAAAAGGGAAGAAAAAAGTCCAAATATGTTTCATTGCTTTTCTCTCTAACTTATAAGTTGAATAGTAAACATAGCTTGCATCCAGTGACCTTCAGGGAGCTTTCAACTTGTTATAAGTTATTTGGAGTGCTTTATGTAAATGGTCTACCAGCTAGCACTTAAAGATAATGATACCCCCAAAAAAGTAAAAATAAATCAATGGTATTTTTATAACTGCTGTGTTAAGGGTAAATATATGTGCATATGATGCCATGGAGAAAATAAAAAAGTGATGCATGTAATTTGGGGGACTTACTTTTTCTGGCAATTACAATAGCTATTTGCAATCCTTCAGCTACCCTTGTTTTTTTTCTCGTGCACACAAAATATTTCCGTCAGAGAATGGGTGTCTGTGGTTCATATCGTAAGAAGGCAGGAAGATTCTGAGATGAGGATATTTCACGGCAATTGCATCTTTTATTGCAAGACGAATTTGCATTTGGCATTGCATGGTGGGAAGGGGAGAGTGCTGGTGTTGCCTGTCCACAGAGATGAAGGGGCTTAACTTGGTAGGCAGGGAGATGTAGGGATGTATCAGTGTTTGGATATTTCATGCACAAAATATTTAAATCTAGAAGTAAAGATCTCTTTGTCAGAATATTTCAGGAACATACAGTTGGGTTTTTTAAAGCGATATTTGTAGTGCAAACAGAAATGTCATTTTCTGGTAGAACTAGAATATTATCCAACCACCTCATGTTTTCCATGTAAGTTTTTAGCAGAATCACATCAGTATTTTGATCTAAACTTTGCTTAAAAGGTCAAATTTTATACCTTATCTTAATGCAATATTTAGATGTTGATAAATTATGCTAAAAAAAATAATTCTAATTCTAGACTGGGATAGATCCAGGCTGCACAAACAGGCTGCGTGGGGCTGGGGCTTGTGTAGGTGCGCTGGTGCTTACACCGTGGATACCACTGGTTTGCACAGCGTGCTTCTGCTGCCCAGAAAGCTTTTACTAACCCTTTAACAGCGGGTAAGGAGAACCTCGTTAGAATTAGAGTCATAGCTGATTTAAAAGTGTATTTTAATATTACATTCCTCTCTCAAAATGAAAAGCCAGAAGTCGCATGTTTTTATTTTGTTGTTTTACATCTTTATGGCTTCACAGTTAGTCTTTTATGATGCTAGTATACAGGCGGTGGGAATTGTTCTTCTGAGCACCAGGCCAATGCATTTTAGCTGTAAATTAAAAGCTGCAGTGTCCTTTATATCTATATTGAAAACAGCCTGTCTTAAAGTTGTACCCACCCGTTTCTGCTGATAGCGCTAATGAGCTGTTTATATAAACAGCAGGCAAAATACCTGCTGCTTACTTTTCAGCCTGCACCACATTACACAGCACGGCATCCACGCTTGAGAGACTGTTGTTTGACTGAATAACCATTCTTAATTTTTTCAGATTTTACAGTGAAAAATGAGAGAAAGCTCTGCCTGCTTTCAAAACAAATAGCACTGAAAATGCTGTGGTTTTCCTTTCCCTCGTAGTTTGACTAAACAACTGAATCTTCGTTATTCTAAAGATTTGTGGTGAACAATATCGAAGGGACCACTGTGATTGCTTCCTCCTGTTCCTTAGCATAACTCAAGACATAGGACTCCTGCATGATTTTTGTGTGTGTGTGTGAGGAGATGATTCATTTTCAAAGTACTTTTTCATAGTTACAGATATTTCTTCTCTCTTTCTCTGGTCACTCAAGTTGGTGATAACTTTCTGTATTGTTCAGTGAGAAGGAAAAAAAATAAAAGCACCGTACACTGAGAATATGAGCATCTTAGATGAATTTGCAAATGTCAGGAACCTCAAACTTGATGTTTCCACAGTAGAATTAAGGTAATCCTCTCATTTGGGATGTTCTGTCCTTAGGTTAAATCAACTTCTTACATTTACCTATGCAGTTGGCAAACGTAGTCCAGCCGCTACTTTAACTGTGCCATTCCATAATCAGTAACACATCTGAAATAGTATTTGCTGTGCATTTGTAGAAGGCTGTACCGATACACTAACCAGTTCCTCTTCTTTTTGTACCGTAATCACCCGGCTGCTTCACTGCACAGAAATTCACTCTGGGTTGATCCCATTGCTTTGCTTTCTCTTCCCATAAAGTTAACCAGAGACGTCAAAAGAAGGTCCTTTTACCCTGGCCATCTGCAGAGCTACTTCCAGGCTTTTACGGAAGCTCAGGGTTTTGTTTTAAAGTTGTTGTGAGACTGCCTCTTCAACCCGGTGGGAAATGGTGGACCTGAGAGGCAAGGTAGATGTGGTTAGAAAGGTTATGTAGAAGAAATGGAGGAGATGGATTTCCTAAAAGGTGACTCTAAAACATTGGCTTTTCTTTTTTTTTAAAAAAGGGTGGTGTAGTTCAGCCTCTCAAAAATCATGATCGCTTTCTTTTAGCAGAGTAATTTCCCCGGGGGGAAATGCACGGTGCACTTTTCAAGTGAAGACCAACCTTGAGGCTTATTCCCTAAATATCAGCATTCATGGTGAGATGAATTTAGAGGAAGGTATAATCCTCCATACACAGACTGGAATGGAGTGGACCTCTCACTTCTAGACCAGAAGTCCCCAAGAAATTTGTAATTTAAGAATACGGAGTGTGGGCTTGCAGTGAAAGCAGGAGTGTGGGCATCTCATTTTGGCCGAGAACAAAATACTGACCTTCACCATGAATATCCCTGTTATTTGTAGTTTGAGATATGTTTAGGATTCCTCATTTTGTTTTCTATTTTTTAATACATTGTTCTTGGGAAGCTTGCTTTTTTACTTTTATTTGACTTTTGGTCCTTAAACAGATCTTCTTTAAAGCTGAAGTGCACCTTTCACCTTTAGTAAAATAGCATATGCAGATACAGCTTCTGCATTTTGCTATTCTGCTTCATGCATTTGATGCCTTATTATTAATACTTTTCATTACTCCTCTAAGCTCCTTGTTTCCAAAATTAAATGTTATGCCCAAATTTCCCTAGTATATACAGTTTTCTCTCCTAGATTATTATTATTCTTCACTGCATTGCACTTTCCAGCCTCATCTCAATGTCTCTTGGCTTTTGCCCTTAAAAGCCTTATCTTCACGCTTATCACGGCAGTCTAACCTATCCTTTGAACTGCTCTGAAGTGTTTGCTCTTCCTCTGTTTTGCTGAAGCTTTGTAATTTTCAACAAAGCCCTTAATCCACAGACTTTACTGAAAACTGGTAGGTTAGAGTATCTCAGAACAAGAAGGAAAAATAATGGTGGTAGAGAAGGAGGTAGAACTTTGCCTGTGCGGAGCAGTCGATGTTAGTCAATGCTAATGAACTATTGAAGCCAAGAAATACTCTGTGTCATTGGCAAAGTTAAGATACTATTTTTAAATAGGCTTATGTGGTCTCTGGAGCCGTAAAGGAAGCAGCAGCATTCTTACTCCTGCACGGTAAAATGTACAAACAGCAACGTGTTTCAAGTTTGCCAGTGGATGCCGCAGTCTATAAATCAGTACATGTTTTCCACTGCTCCTCCATAAATTGAAAGTGTTGGTCCTAGGGAGAAAAAAGTAAAGAAATGCACACTGTTCATTTATTTCTGCTCCTCATTCCTTCCCCCTCCCCGCACCCCCCTGTCCAAAAAAAAAAAATACCTTTTACTGTTTTACTGGAGCTACAAAACACAAAATATTTGAAACCACGCAGTAAATACCATGCGTTGGCTTAAAATGTCTTCTTTTTTTCGGCTCGTGGGATGGCATCAAATGGCTTTTTCTTCCCTCTAAGGAGACAGTGGTGAAATGCACCTGTCTGCCAAAAATCAGTGCAAGGCTCGCGTCCAGCTCGTACCCCATGTCAGATCGTGAGCCCATCCTGAGAGCTGTGAAGGACAGAGACAGTCTTCAGAGAAGAAAGATACGGTGTTTGACCGTGTTCCAAATGAATACAGCAAGTTCTTTTAAAGGGTTTCCAGCGATGGCTATATCTTACGCATCTTGAATGCAGTACTAGCAATAGAGAAATACTGTGTTTTGACATTTTATTTAAAATATTAAGCTTACATGGTGGTTAATTAACACTATCTGAAATTTAAACAGCTTGGAATGTCCTTCATACATCAGAATACTGCACAATAATATTCTTACCCTAGACTATTTCATTTTTACTGACCGTTAACTCAGCAGGAACTAAGAAATATCCTAAGATCCTCCTTTGCTGCTATTAAAGAACCTCAAAAACTAAATTGGATGCTGCGGTTCTTTCTGGGCAACAAGCAATCCAGCTTCCAAACTAAATTAAATTGCTAGGTTTTCCCTAAAAAGATCTCCTTCTGCATCCTCAAAGTCTTTCCCCTAACAATTTTCCAGCTCGTGTCTACACAACTAAATTTAGGCTGTACATATTTTCCTTACGCCTTCAGTATAAAAGAAGCATTTTCCTTCCACTATCACCAACCTCCCTCTCTGGTACACTCCAGATAAATTGCTTCTTGCATTAATGAGTTGTTCATCGTACAAATCCTGTGTAGTAGCTCCCCGTACGGCTCATTCCTCCAGAAGACCTGCCATGTCTTGGGCAAACCTGGGAAACCTTCCAAGGCAGGAAATCTGTGAGGCAGCAGATTGGGAGTTATTGACCTTCAAGAATATAGATTTCATTTATCAGGATCCTTTGCCACAGCCGTGCTGTCCTCACCTGAATAAATTTGCTCTGTAGTAAACAGAGAAATTTTTAGGAGGGTTGTGCAGGGGATTTTAAACACACAGTTGCTGCTTCTGTTACGATGTTGGAAAAACTACTGGCTTTGGGTTTCTTTTCGGTGATGTTGCAGGTGTTGTGGTCCAGCTGCACAAGCGACCAAGTGAAAACCAGGTGGTTAATGGACTCGTGGACCTCTGGAATTCAGGGCACTTGACATTTTGTAAATTGAGTTTTATAATACAACTTCTTGTTGTCCCTTCAGAGGATTGAACTGGACAGTTGGATTTCAAAATAGAGACGTTAGAGCAGAGTGGGATTTTTAAGAGGTAGTAGCAACAAAAAGTAGGTGCTTTTCTCTAAGACAGGCCCCTTGGTTGGAGAGGGGCCAGCTTACTGGCTGACAAAAATGGAAAGAATCTTTTCTCATGCTGAGGCACTTCTATCGTGTATTTGCAGTAATGATAGAAAAAGAGTAGTTTTATCTCTTATCTATACCAGAAAGTGTTCCATTAAAAAGAATGTGACAAAATATGAGCACTATAACTTGTAAACTAACATTTAAAGAATTTTTAAAGAAAATCCAGTAACTTAAGCCAGAAACAAATGTGGTTCATATCTGTTTTTCTCCTGTTCTTCTCCACTGATAGGTAGCGGAATGGTTACTAGGAAGAATGCTAGAATTGTGTGATTATTGCGTGTATATTGTAGGTAAACTAAATCTATAGCGTGTTTAATTTGAGGATTCATTTTTTAGGCTCTGAAACATTTATAAATTTCATTATTAATATTAATATTCAGTTACATCTAACGGGTTTGTTCAGGCTGGGAGAAGAGCAATGGAAATGCAGACTATGCTCCAGCATTTTTACAGCCTCAACTGACAAAGGTGGAAGATGAAAACAAATCAAAACCAAGATTTAATTCTTCTAAAGTCGTCATTTAATCGGTGGCAGTGCTGTCCTAACTATAGGCATTGATGTGTATGCAGTGCTTTCGACAGCACAGGTCTGGTTTTAGAATCATAGAATCACAGGCTGGTTTGGGTCGGAAGGGACCTCAAAGCCCCCCCAGTCCCAACCCCCCTGCCCCGGGCAGGGCCCCCTTCCCCCAGCCCAGGGGGCTCCCAGCCCCGTCCAACCCGGCCTTGAACCCTTCCAGGGAGGGGGCAGCCACAGCTGCTCTGGGCACCCTGGGCCAGCGCCTCACCCCCCGCACAGGGAACAATTTCTGCCTTAGAGCTCACCTAAATCTGCCCTCTGGCAGTTTAAAACCATCCCCCCTTGTCCTATCCCTACACCCCCTGACCCAGAGTCCCCCCCTCCTCTCCTGTCCCCCCTTTAAGCCCTGGGAGGCCGCTCGAAGGGCTCCCCGGAGCCTTCTCTTCTCCAGGCTGAACCCCCCCAACTCTCTCAGCCCGGCCCCCCAGGGGAGCTGCTCCAGCCCCCCCAGCATCTCCGTGGCCTCCTCTGGCCCCGCTCGAGCAGCTCCGGGTCCTTTTTGAAGTTTTGATGGGCTCCAGAGCATTGCAGCAGTGTAGGTGATGTTCCGGGACGGGCTTGCTGTGGTGTGTCCCACGGGCTGCAAAGCCACAGTGGCACGACGGCTCACTCACGCTGAGCAACACCAACACGGTGTTTCAGCCCCCTCAGCAGCTCTCCTCCCCTCCTCTCTTCCCCACTAATCCAGAATCCCTTGATGATCAGGTACAATTAGTTAGCGTTTAATGGCATACAGCCTTAGCACCGAGCCGGTGCTGTGAGTTGCCAGACGTTCTTTGGAAACACATCGCAGTGTCTGTGCTTATCTGGGATTCAGTGGAAGAACTGAATGAGTTTGTTTACGGTGTCGATGCAAATCTAAAATTATTTAGACTTCCATTTATTTGCAATCTCATTCAGCTCTAAAGCTGTTTGCCTGAGATCATCTATAAATATTTTCGCAACAGAAGAGAGAGTAGAAGTGCTTCGGTTTTGGAAAGGGACTGGTTAAATCTGGAATACACAAGCAGAGAACTTGGACAAGGAAAATTATGGTAATGCCATATTCTTTGAAATGACAATGTGCAGAAGTAGTTATGGATGACTGAAGTTAAAAAGAAAATGGCAGTCAAAATGAAGAAAGGTTAAGTGATTTTGAAAGGTTTCACTTGCTGACTTACCAAACAGCTATTACTTTAGTTTCTATAAATCGATGGAATTTTGCTCTTCTGAGTCAAAATTAACTCAGCCTAGTATGTGAAAATGTACTCCATTTTCTGCAAATATGCTTTTACTGTTAAACTTATTTTAATTTTTGTTTAGAAATAAAAATATGCTCTGTATCATCATTCTAGATTAGATACATAATATGGATAAAAACATTCAGGCCCTTCCATTTGCAAAAATTGCGTTGCAGAGCGTACAATCTGCCTTGTGATTTCCTGCAGACGTGATCCCTCATTACGATGATTGTAATTAGTCGTTCTGATTCTTTTTTCAAATTCAAGGCATTTTACAAACATGAGGTAACTCATGCTCATTCCAGTCCTCTTCCCTAGATAAATAATATTATCAACCTTGTTGTAGAAATGAGAAAAACCAAGAGAAGGGGTCGAGCATCACGAGTAGCCATAAGCAAAGGTTAACGTAAGTACCAGGATCTACCCCTCATGAGCGTCCATCAACTTTCTGTTTTAAATTAGGTCACAGCTCAGTCTCTGTTTGCCCAAGCATCTGCCCTTTTTTTTCCTTTGGGACTCAAAATCTCATTTTCCTTCACTCAGCCATACCAGTGTAGTGTCTGGCCCATATTTTCTTTTTACTTCACTCCCTTACTTCAAGAGCATAAATCTCCATCCTTTCTCTCTGCAATCTCCTGTAACTATTTTTCCTTTTGCAACTCCTCATCTCCTCCACCAGCAGCAGCTCCCTGCCTCTTCAGGCTGCTGCTTTCCACCCCTTCCCCCTCAGTCTGCCAGCACAATTTTTCAGTCCATCTTTCGGTTTGCAGGACGGGTGCCCTCCACTTGAAAATTGGCTCCTCGTTTCCAGGGAGGAGAAGGGTTAGAGAACAAACCAGTGGGAACCGAGCCACATCTTGTTTTTGTGACATTGGCATGTTACATATGGGGGAAGGTTTACTGAATATTTAGCCTGGCTGGGCTCCAGATTGCCAATTCTGAGGGAAAAAAATAAGATATTCTACGTCCCAGTCTGGTGTTTGTGCCACTAAATCACAGGTAGCTGTGCCCTGCCTGACTCCTCAGCCAGTGCTGGCAGCGGTCTCGGTCATACTGGCAGTTGTATGAAACCTTAATGTTTTACTTGTATTTTTAAATCAGCATCTAGAACTAAGAATTTTCCTAAAAGTCTTATTTTTTTTCCAAGTTTTCCTGATACACTAAGGAATATGATTTCAACTTTCAGACCAAAAGACAAATAAAATTCACCCAACGTTGATTTTGGTCTTTGAGTGATGGAATTTCATCTGTGTGTTTTGGGGGGGATTTTGGTTTTCAGGGTGTCTCGAGGGGTACACAGTGCTTTAAAGCAGATGGGGTTGGGGGGTCTGGGTGAGGTGGAGGCAGGAGTCGGTTGTGTGCGTGAAGGTTTCCCCAGGAGCGCCGTTCCCCTTCTCGCTTCCCAGCATCGTCCAGCTCCCACCACCTTCGGAAGTTGTGGTGCTTCACCTCAAACTCTTCGCTCCCAAAGGTGGATGTCTTTGGGGAGCGATGGGGAAACACGTGTTCAACCCTCCTTCATCCGACCACTCTTTGCAGCTGCAGCCATCCCAGTATTTCACCGGGCCAAGGAACATGTGGCCTGATGCTGAGAGGAGAATTAGGAGGTGTGGACAAGGGATTTAAATATAAGATGAAGGGTAATACAGACCAAATAGATTTATAACTCATTCCAAATCTGATTTTTTTTTAATACAGCGAGGTCAGCAGTGCCAGCCAAATTTCAGTAGCAGAGGCATCAGGTTAGATCTCACATAGCCTGGTGTGCTAATTTAAGCATTTTGGGGGGGGTTGAGTGGTTCTTAATATTTAGAATAGAAAAATATGAGAAATACACATTTAAAAACATTTTTGCTGCTCCTCATTAAGATTGTTGGCTTCTGAAGAGCTGAAGGATATTGTTAAATTTCTTTGGGTCAGTTGAGACGGCTGCTGAATTTCATGGTTGAAAAGCAAGAGAGGAAAAAGAACCAATGGAAATATAATGAATATTTGTTCAAAGCAATATCTGCAAATTGCCTGTCCTGTCTAATATAGATTATAGATATTAGATGGAGAGAGAGGTGATTATGAACTATAATCAATCAACAGCATTTATCCAAAGTCCTAGGTTCTGGGTTTCTTTGTGGGCAGGTCGTGTTTACACATTATTGGATATCTAGTTGGGCTAGCAGGAATAATTTTATTTCTGAAGCAATTTGATCATTTTACTTGATTTGCATCAAATAGAGACATGTGGGTAATGCTGCCACAGCTATTTGGCACATCAGATGCACAGTGTTTTCAGGCATGTGACACAATGCGTTTTGTTGTGTTTTATGAAGAGTTATTTTATTCCAATGTTATTGTTTAACCAAGGTATGTAATTCAGGTTTTTTGTTGCTTTGTGATTTTTTTTTCCACAGATGTGGGAAGAGGCCATTGCCTTGGGTAAAGAACTTGCAGAACAGTATGAAAATGAAATGTTTGATTATGAACAACTCAGTGAACTGCTGGTAGGTTTTTTTAATGACATAGACACTGCAAAAATTTTTTCAGTATTTAATTTCGCAGCTTTTAAAATTCTACTGGAAATCTCTCTTATGACAGTAAAATGCAGAAATAGATGCCTGCTTTGGCTTTGTTGGATGAATGTTGATTAACTGGCTACCACTGGAGTGCCTGAAAAAGATTGAATTTTATTTTTTTTTTTTTAGCTGAAAGAAAAATATTTCGGTAATGTAAAGCTGATTTATTTGGGGTATAAAAGGAAATTTGGAATTTAAATATAAATGGGAACATGAAAAAATCCCCATTCTCTCTCAAGTGTCTTTCCATATTCACGTTTCTTTTTTTAGGTATGAATAATCCCCAGGCATTCATGTCTAGAGTCAGTTATTTTTGCCCTGATGTTACCCATTCATTATGCCAGCACCATATTTTTCTCTCCTGCTGTTCTCCAAAATGATAAATGGCATCTGTCACTGGCCCTCCTAACTTCTCAACCATTTTCACAGGAGTTGGGACATGATGCCAGTTTGGTTCTGAAAATTCTCGACTTTCAGGTGTTTGATACGTTTTACCTTTGCACTCACCAGAGTCCTTAATTTCTTTAAATTGTTTATCTGCTTTATCCCAGCCTGTCCGAGCTGGGCATTAATACGGTGTCACGGCACCCTCCTTCTCCACTGACACCAATGCTCACTTTGAGGATGGCTAGGAGCCATCTCCCCAGAAGCATCTCCATCCCCTTCTCCCCAGAATCTCCTTTCTTGAGGAGGAAAGAATAAATGTAAATACCACTCCTCTCAGTTTCAGGGTTTATTTTCTCCTTTACGCCTTCTTTGTTTTCTGCATGGTTCTGTCCTCCAGCTCCCTACAGCTGAATTTATATCCCTTTTTGATGGCCCTCCTTTTGTGGCGTTTTAACTGGTTTTACTGACAGACTGATTGTATTGATTTGCCTAACAAATCTGGAGCCTGGTTTCACATTGCTCTGCACTGCAGGAGGTAAGGGATGTTTATGTAGAGCATTTCTTGGGTGCTGTGGTGTGCCAGAAGGGTCTTCCTTGGCTTGCTGCCTGCACCGCTGTCGGTAGGGCCGCGTTCAACAGAGAATATTCTTCATTTCAATATAAAAGGAATCTGGTAGAGATTGTTCCTCATCTAGAAATGATTCTCATGTGTCAGATATAATGATTCACCAGTGGGTAGCTACTCTCCAAGTCCCTCATTTTTAATTTTCCATCTCCTTTATGCTTGCACACGGGAACACGAACAGCTTTGTCGCAGAGGCAACCACCCTTTACTTATCATACTGAATCCATTTTGGCGGAGAAGTCTGAATTCACACTTTATATATTGTAGCTGATGGCAAATAATACCAAATTATGTATTGTTCACCATTTCTTCTTCATAGTAAATATGTCATTATTTCCATTAGGTTACATAATTCCAGGCAGTGGTGTTAACCAGGTATAGTTCATCTGTGTATGGAAATGGAGTTCCTCCCTCTTCTAATAGAGGAGACCCAGAACTTCCAGTTCTCACATCAAACAACTAAGCTTTTCTGCTCTTTATTTATCAGACAGGAGAAATTGAGAGAGATGTCACAAAAAGCAGTAGCAGTGCACTTTGGGCATTCATCCCTAATAAGGCAAAGATCAAAATTCACGTTCCTGTATAAGTCAGGTCTCACATACCCCACTGCTGCTGCTGAATAGCACTGGCACGCTGGCTCTCTTTTTTCTGCCGCACAACAAAATTTTAAAGATTTTTATTTCTTTCTGTTCTCCCTGTTGCCTCTTTTATTCAAGCAGTATTCAATATTAGACGCTAATACAATTCACAAATGACAAACTAATTTTGCTACAGGTGAACTGAGAAATATGTGGCAGATTTAGGTCTTTGTAGTCTTCTTGCCATTTTCTGTTACCTCTTGCAGGGGAGCAGTAGTAAACCTCCCCCCAAATCAGAATTCATTCTCTTACGGAAAGTAATAGACTAAAAATAAGTTAATGAACAAATCATCTGAAGCTGCACATTTGTTGTTATTTCATCATTTGAGATAAAGAAGGATTCCGCTTTGAAAACAGATGGTGACTGACATGCGTGTATTTATTCCAGAAGTTAAATTTTTCTGCATTCTCAACTGCCTGCTTTCCATATGCAAATAAATAGTTGTAAATATGAAAAGAAGTAGTAGAAAAATATAATGAAATCTAACAGCTGAAAACTGAGAAGTCAGCACTGTCGAGATGAGCTGGCTTTTAGCAGTATGTGCTTCATCATTCCAGAGTTTCGGCATCGGGAGCTCAGGCTGCCTTGAAAATTCTTGGCCTTCATCAAAATTAAGATATTGGATATGGACCAGTGAGGTTCACCAAGATGAGCATAAAAATAGTGGCTACAGAGTCTAGTATTTCAAAATATTAGCATATATTTCATAGAGAGGTGAAGAAAACGGGGCAAATGAAACATGTATATCTTTAAGTTAGAGATACACATAAAAGAGATCTAGATCTTAAGAATAAGGAATCTCTTTAAAATTTAGGTCATTAAAATTCCTCCTATTTATTTTGCAGAGAAAGCAAGCCCAGTTCTATGAAAACATTGTAAAAGTAATAAGACCAAAACCAGACTATTTTGCTGTTGGATACTACGGCCAAGGATTTCCGACATTCATAAGGGTAAGTGTCCACCTTTTTCCACAGATGATAGCCAGGTTTCTTGCTTTGGGAATTTCCCTCAGTTGTGGAGAAAGTACATTATTGTGTGTCAGTGTGTTATTTACAATCTACATAACATCTATGGTTGTTTTTTTAGGTGTATAAAGCAAATGTTTTTTTCTTTCCTGTTTCTAATATGGAATAGTTGAATTTTAGTAAAGAAGCTTTTTCTTCAAACATACCCAATACTTTATACTTCTTCAGGGTATCACAAGAAATTAAGATATACAGCCCTATCCATAAATCAGGGCAATAGCCAGCACCATCTGAAATGGTGACATTTTTGCCTGGCAGGTGTCTATAGATATATATATGTGACTGAGGATAATAGAGAAGCTTTTTGTATGTGACTATTTTCATTTGAGTATCCATTCCAGTGCAGTCACTAAAATGAAGTTGACTATCAAAGATGTGTGTGATACCTTTAAAAGCAATCTTTATCATTGATTTTCCTGAGTCATGTGTCAGTTTAAAACATGTCACATGGTTGATGCCAGTAACATAACTCTAGTAACATTTTAGATTTTTGCCACTGTTACTGGGATCGTTATGGAGTTGAGTTACTGGCTAAAGAAAGGTCGGGATTTAACACATCTGAATTCCATCTGTATCAGGACTCTGCACTTGGCAGTCAGTGACACGGAAATAACACAGTTGCTATTTAGCTGCTTTGCTGGTCGTATCTGTCTTAAGAGCTGAGGATTTTCAATTTGGAAAGAGACTCTCTCCCTGTGAAGGAGTTACAGTAGATTAAGGCAGTTCAATAGAGAGAAGAAAAAGATTATTACTATTATTCTCTGAGTCTAGGAGACTTGGAGAGATTTAGTCTCAGGCCAGGTGCTGGTGGTAGGTTTCCTCCTGGAAATACTCATTTAGGAGATGAGTTTCTGTTTGTAACTGAGTAATTCCATTTTAACTCTCTCAGATTATGCCATAATAAATACCAGGAGCAAGCTGAAGCATACCCTGAAGCCTGGCTAACTGGATAAATCCAGTGACTGCTGATAAAGCTGGTTTTGTCACATTACTTGTGGTCAACTGGTCCTTTATGGTGTATTAAAGTGAAGTAGGGAGAGGCTTTAAAAAATCCCAAGAAATAAAACTTTGTTTAGTCACAAAATCACAGTATGGTTGGGGTTGGAAGGGACCTCAAAGCCCCCCCAGTGCCCCCCCCTGCCCCAGGCAGGGCCCCCTTCCCCCAGCCCAGGGGGCTCCCAGCCCCGTCCAACCTGGCCTTGAACCCTTCCAGGGAGGGGGCAGCCACAGCTGCTCTGGGCACCCTGGGCCAGCGCCTCACCCCCAAAACAGGGAACAATTTCTGCCTTAGAGCTCACCTAAATCTGCCCTCTGGCAGTTTAAAACCGTCCCCCCTCATCCTATCCCTACATCCCCTGACCCAGAGTCCCTCCCCACCTCTCCTGTCCCCCCTTTAAGCCCTGGGAGGCTGCTCGAAGGGCTCCCCGGAGCCTTCTCTTCTCCAGGCTGAACCCCCCCAACTCTCTCAGCCCGGCCCCCCAGGGGAGCTGCTCCAGCCCCCCCAGCATCTCCGTGGCCTCCTCTGGCCCCGCTCGAGCAGCTCCGGGTCCTTCTGCTGTTGGGGGCCCCCGAGCTGGCCCCAGCACTGCAGGGGGGTCTCCCCAGAGAGGAGCAGAGGGGGAGAATCCCCTCCCTGGCCCTGCTGCCCCCCCTGCTCTGGCTGCAGCCCAGGGCACGGGTGGGTTCTGGGCTGCCAGCGCACGGGGCTGCCTCACGGGCAGTTTTCCATCCACCAGTAATGAGGTTTTCATTTGGAAGAAGCCTTCTTTTCTGCAAACTAGCTAAAGCCCGCGTAAAGAAACTGAAATTCTTGAATTGTCTCAAAAAGCAGCAAATGCGTGTGGCTTTTCACATACCCTGAGGTGCTGTACTACAGGCATACTTGTACCATTTATGCCTCCTGAGAAGAAATTCTTTACGGCTGAAAGGAATAAAGCTGACCCCAGGCAGTTCCTGCCAGGCCAAGAGTGTATTTTGCAGTATCCATTGTGTGCAGACCCTCACACAAATACTGGGAGATGAGCTCTTGTATCTTGGTCCCCACGTTATAGCTGAGCAGCTCATGTCAAGAGACTCTGAGTGTGCAGGAAGGTGACAGGATCATCGGTACCCAGAGCTGCCCTCGAGCTGATGAAATGCAGTTCTGCAAAATGCTAAAGCCATATGTTAGTAACAGAAGCAATGGCACGATGATGTGCAAGCTGCCGTGTGTGTCAAAAGACCAACTCTAAAGAGGTCCAGTACATAAAAACTAAGAATTGTGCTGTTTGAAATACATGTAGGGTAATATACATGCAATAGCTTTTATCAGGCGTCAAACAGCAATAAATTATTGTGGTACATTAAGGAAAAAAATCTTTTATAGATTGTTTATTATTAATTCTTAGGTTGACCGTGCAAAAAATATTGAATATCCAGTAAGAAGGATTCACTGTTAAGCTTGACCAACCCATTTCTCTAGAAAAGGATTGAATTAGTATTTTATGATGTTCCTGTAGGGAAGACTTGCATTATCAGGAATCTTCAAGACAGTGAATGTCCAATAAAGTCGATGAATGTACCATAAGATCACTGGTAATTTTGCAGAGGGGACGGTGGCTACGTGTCGCCGTCAGATTTTACAGTCGCCCTCAAGAGAGCGCAACGTTTTCCTCTCGAAACACTGCGAGTGCGAGGTGGTGCGGAGGTGCTGGGTGGCGCGGGGTGGCGCCGGGATGCCCGCGGGCACGGCGAGCTGTCCTGGCCGGGGGTCAGCCCCGCTCAGCCTCTTCCTCGGCCGTGCCAAAGGCCAAATCACAGAGAGCACAAGGCAGCTTCCGCCTCAAGCGGCGTGGTCGGAGGGACGACACGCGGGACGGTGTTAATCTGATACGCGCATGCTGGGCTGCTTTTTCTCTTCACAACTGAACGGGGTTTTTTTTTTTGTAAGTGCGGCAAAACACCGTGCTTTACGGGAGCCTCGTGGATCAGTCAGTTTGTAGTAAATGAGCAATAAAAACTCTGAAAAATAGGCTGTTAAGTGCCTGGCTGATTGAGAAAATCCTCAGTACAAGCTTTTTCTTCCACTACAATATTTTCCTATGCATTACAGATGAATTACAGGTATGTATACACTTCTTAAGCATCTGTCCTTTTTTCTCTTTTTTTTTTTTTTCCCCCAAAGAGAGAGTATTCTTTCATCTGCTGTGCATTTCAAAAGGCACCATTGCAGAACTAAACCCAACTGAGCAAATGTAAACTATTCCAGTTTTCTACTCGTAGTCATAACAGTCTTTTTCTAAGAAGTGCTGTATAATTTTTTCACCAAGCGTTCATTTGGGGATGAGTAATGAGGTTAAGCATATTCAGCTTCAAGTGTTACATTCATATCAAAACTTACTTTAATATGTTTGATCTGTTAAAAACATGCAAGCTATTACTTCCATTTTTCTTTAGAATTTAACGTGCTTATTCAGTATATAAATGGACTGTATAAAATATATCTTAATTTTCTTTATTGTTAAAAGAAGGAACCAATACTTACAAATACAATATATGTAATTTAAAAGTTACGCTGTGTGCAGACAGCTGTACAATGGCAAAAATCTAATAGACTAATGTGAAGTCTAGGGTGTATCAGTCTTTCTAAAAGAGTCAGTATCTTTGGACCTTCCTCTTAAAATTGGCATCGTTTTCTGTTTATAATTTTCTCTGCTACTCTTGTTTGCTCACCTCAATGCCTTTTAATAAATATTTGTGAATGAAAAGCCTAATTCTGCTTATTTACATCCGTTCCATTTGCTGTGGAAGGTGGGTGAGAGGAATTACAGAGGGAGATCTGGATTTGGGAGAGGACATAATTTGTCTTAATACATTTTCAGTGGGCACCTATTTTATAGATCCTTGAAACCATGTATTTGTACCCCATTGAATTTAGTGTGGTTTATACGTATGCCTAAAAGTAAGCAAGTGCTGGATGATCTCAGTAGTGAATTGCAGGTAAGGAAATCCATTTGTGCTTTATTGAATTGGCATAAAGTATTTGTAAACTATTGATTATATCATAGTGTGAGGAGCGTAAAACTTCTCACTTAGCAGCATTGGAGTCAACGCTCCTGAGATCCCAGTTCATTACTGAGGATTGGGATTTCACCTCTCGATTTGTTCCCAGAACAAAGTCTTCATTTACCGGGGAAAGGAGTACGAACGCCGCGAAGATTTTGAAGCAAGGCTCTTGACTCAGTTTCCAAATGCAGAAAAAATGAAAACGACGTCTCCACCGGGCGATGACATTAAAAACTCCTCCGGCCAGTGTATCCTTAGCTTGTACAGCGGCTCCCGCGGCCGCACACATCGAGGATTTATGGCCAACACAAGCAGGAGACTTGGACTTCTGCCTTTATGGGTGTAACTCATTCATTTTGTTGTTCTGTCCTTTCTTTGCGTTCCCATTGAGCTGCCTGTTCTGCGTGATTGAAATTTGCTTTGCGGTTCTTAACCCCTGAATTCAGATATTCAGTGCTTTACTGTAAAGCCAAAGCTGGATTTGCCCTCTAAATTCCACAGGCCTGTGTCAGAACAAATCGTGAGGTGAGTTCGGGTTGGTTTTGCAATTTTATCAGTCTCCTTTTTAACACTTAAACTAGTTCTTCTTGCTGTATAACAAATCCATGCACGGCCAAGGAGGGTAGTAATTACCAGGACACTCCATGAGTTTTAATGTAAGCAGAGATTCCATCCAACCCACTGGAAAAGAGTGATCCCATGAACATCTTCTATTTAAGCAGAAACTTTTTTCCTAATAATAGCAGCAATTCCTAAACAGATAGCATTTAATTTTCATTGTGCTGTTCCCTTTTTTCAGTTTCTATAGGGTGAATGAAGTCCAGCGGTTTGAGTATTCACGCCCTGTTCGAAAAGGAGAGAAAAACCCAGACAATGAGTTTGCGGTAAAAAAAAAAAAAAAAAAAAATACTTTGGGGGTTTGCTTGTTTATTGCCCTTCATTTTGAGAATCTGAACCATTCATTATGTTTGGTTGTTGAAAAATAAATTCTAAGTTTAAATGTGATTAATTTTCATAGAAATTCAATTAAATTAATTTATCGTGTTGTGGTTTATACCAGTAGGAAAAATGGACAAAGATGTGTTTATTTTGTTAAAAAACATCTATCTTGAGAAAGAAGTTTAAGATGGTTATACCTGAAAGAAGAGATGTCTCTTGTCAATACTTGTCTTGCCATGAAGATTCCAATCAAACATCTTCTGAAAATCTTTTTGCAGCAATGCCTTTTTTTATCCTTTTCTGGTTTTGGTTCTTGTTTTTTTGTTTTTTTTTTTTTTTCACTAAACCATTTGTTTCATTTAATGGTCAATAAAACTCCCTTTGAGCACAGCTTGTATTCATCAAAATGTTTACAACAGGTTACATCAGGTTGATTGCTTTTTTTTTTTTATAGACACCATTTTATTCACAGGGGTTCTAGTGGGCGCAGTTAGTAGTAAAGTAGTAGTAGTAATTAAAGTAATAAATCAATGCATCATTTCTTGAGTGAAGATCTTGGCTTTCTGTGTAGTAGCAGGCTCCGATCTAATCAATATGCCAATAAATGCTGAGTATTTGGTTTCCTACAGCTAAAACTGGGTATTCATTCAGAGAATCCTCCAGTGTTTTTTGTGGTGTTATAGCAAAAATTGCTAATTTGCTAATCTGTGCGTGTTTAGCTGAGGAGGCAGGAAGCCCTCTTTTTCTAAAGCTGTAATGCTAGAGCGTGCTACAGTTTACAATATGTTTTGAGTATAAATAAAAAAAATAGGTATATCTGAATCACTTTGAAAGCTGTTCTTCTGTTAATGGAGGACGGAATAGCCAATTCTCTTTTTAAAAAACCTCCCAATAAATAAGATGAACTACCTACATATACCAGTTCTAACAAAATCGGATCAAGAGATGCCTTTGACATTGGCTATGAACCAAATACACAAATGTGAAGGAAGAGATGTTAAATCCCATATCCTTAAATTCAAACCAGTGAGGAGGTGCTACAACGGAGCCGTTGCAGTTTACAACTCAGATGAAATCACAGAGTCACAAATCCAGGTTGGGGCCTCGGGGGAGCTCAGGTCTACCCGTGCCCCAGGCAGGGCCGGCTCCGGGGTCAGGGCTTTTCCCCAGCCGTCTTCAAACCTGCAGGGTCAGGGACAGCACAGCCCCTCCAGGGAGCCCGTCCCTCCGCTCCTCCGCCCTCCCGGGGAAGAAACTTCCCCTACATCAAGATGTTGTGGTTTTGTGGAGGACGGTTCTGAAAAGCTCTCGCGGGAAAAATGACAGGCCAGTAAAACCGGTGGCTCTTTTACGTAGTGTTCTCCTTTGGTGGGAGAGCAGTTGTCCTCTGCTAAATCACGTATCATCAGATTTAAATCAGTGCCACTCCATCATCTCCCCAAGCAGATACCGTTTGAAATTTCCCTCTGGCTTCGTAATGTCTGTCATCCTGCGGTTCCTTTTCCTGACGATAATGTTTTAAGGCTTTGCTTAAGATAACAGCTATCTATCTGATAACATGATGTTGATGTTCTACTTGCAGAATATGTGGATTGAGAGAACCATCTATGTGACAGCGTATAAATTACCAGGGATTCTGAGGTGGTTTGAAGTCAAATCAGTTTTCATGGTAAGATCAATTTGGTTTTCTTGAGATCGCATAAAAGAATGGGGTTCTTATACAGCCCAGGAGCATTTATATTTCTGTATGACTGTGTCCTGGGTTGAGTGAGTGGTGGAGTTTTTTGGTGGCAGGGGAAGGGGCTATCGGGGCGGCCCCCTGTGAGAACCTTCTCGAAGCTCCCCCAGCTCCACGTCAGCTCCACTTCTGTTTGGGAAATTGAGCCCATCAGCTGCGCCTCTGCAATAACGTATTTAAGAAGGGACGTGGTGACGGGCAGTCGGACTTGGGAGGAGGAGTTGCTGCAGCTGCATGAACACCAAGGTCAGTGGAGGAACGGAGGAAGAAAGGAGGGGGGAGGTGTGCCGGAGCAGAGACCCCCCTGTATCCTGTGGTGAGACGGCAGGGCGGCCCCCCCCTGCCATCCATGAAGATCTACGGTGGAGCAGACATTGATTTGTGGCCTGTTGCTCCTGCTCGGATGATCAAGGTGCTGTGCCCGAAGAAGGACGGGGTCTCATGGGAAAAGGCAGCCCCACTGCTGTAATTCAGTGCTGGGAGGATTGCAGCATGCGGGGGAGTCCCACGCCGGAGCAGCTCGGGAAGGGCTGCAGCCGTGGGAGGGAATCAGTCGGAGGAAGTTAATGACCCAAGACGGAGCAGTGTGGGGAACGCTGCGGCCCATGGGAGGAATTCAAGTCAGAGAAAGTTTGTGGAGGACTGTCTCCTGTGAGAGGGGGACCACGATGGAGCAGGGGGTAACAAGTTTTGGACACTCCCCTCACCGAAGATAAGGGAAGTGGCAGCGCTGACTGCACCCCCCATTCCCTGCCCCTGCGCCACTGGGGGAGGAGGTAGAGATATCGGGAGCAGAGCTGAGCCCGGGAAGAAGGGAGGGGTGGGGGGAAGGTGTTGTCAAGATGTGGCAATGCTTCTCACTGTCCTACTCTTAGGTGTTGTTAGTGTCTGTAATAAATGTATGTTCTTTTTTTTCTTCCCCTAACGAGTCTGCCTTTTGCTCGTGATCATAAAAGGGGGATTTTTCCCTCTCCCAGTCCTACCTTGAACCCCAAGCCTGGCTCTCTGTCCCTTCTTATTGCCGGAGGGGAAGGGAGAGAGAGCTGCTGCATGGTGGTTGGCTGCCAACCAGGCCTAAACCACGACAGTTGCTTCATTTCTGTGAACAAGCAATCAATGTGGCTATATCTGGCATCCTAAGACGAGGGGAACTTGCTGAGGATGCTGATTATTGACTGAGGGTGCTCAAGTCATGCTTCTCCACTCCTGAGAGAAGGAAACACGGGCTGAATCTTCCAGGCCTTGAGGGCAAGGTCCGAATAAGTGCTTGAAGTACTTTTATTTCTGGCTTTCAGCCCGTGAGCCATTACAACCTGTGGCGTAAGCCGCGTGCCTAAAATGAAGAGGGACCTGAGGTGGTGTAGGGGAACCCGACTACATCCAAATGAAACTAGTCTGAATTTTGGAAAAGAGGATTTGGGCATTTTGATTGGAATTTATTCAAAATATACCATAAGTAGAATCTATTGTATGTGTCTGCGTTTCTTCTCTACTTGTCATTTGTGATTAAAGGTTGTTTTTGTTTCTTCTCCATAGTTAGCTAAAATATACCCTAGCAACCTCACAGAGTAACTCCAAATTACGCATTTCTCTGTTCTACCATTTAGACAGCTGTAATTTTTAAGTAGCAATAAAAACATTGTTACTGCAGTTTTTTAATCTCTCTTGTGAGGCTTATTTTTAAAGGAAAAGAACAATTTGCATATGATTAATTAAAACCTTTTTCATTGCTCCATTGAGGTTATGTTGGACAGTTGTATTTAGATGAACAGAAGAAATGCAGAAAATTACTATGGTATCTATAGTAACAGAATATGAATGTGATGTTTGACAGTAATAGGCAGCTGAATAAAACACATTGGAATTTTTAATGAATTTTGTATTTTCAATATAATGCTGATAGAGAAGATTGTATTTATCTTCATGATTGCAAAAAGTGTTGTTTATAAAGGCTGGCAAATCAGATGAAAGTCTCTTTTCCTTGCAAGTTTAGAGCACAGCCTGACAGGCTGCTTTGTGCAGGCAATTTGTATACACGCACCTTTAGTGCTATGCTTGTCGTCGAAATGTGCATAAATCCTGGGAGAGAGCTTTCTGTAAGCTTTTTGTAAGTAAGGATTATATTAGTCACATAGCTGAAAAATGATACCAGAATGGAACTTAATAATATGTGTGAAGACGGCATCGGATAACTTTTGACCTAGCTCTGGCGTAGTTACTACAAAATTGGTATTGACTTTCTTCAGGATTCCTGTCAGCTGAAGTGCTGGAAGCACGATCACAAGGTTCACATCCCTGTGACGCTAAATTTTGATTATGGATACAGATATTACTGATGTTTTACTAAACATGATGAATTAAAGTGGCTTTGCACGTTTCATATTTTATTGATGGAACTGGAATATCTTTAAAGGAATAGGTGGGATCATATCGAATCAGTGCTGAGAGAGAACCGAGTAATCTAATAAATGCAGTGTGCTGTGTTACATAACCCATAGGAACATGAATAATTTCCTTAAATCTATTTGCTTTTAAAATTCTGAGTACTTTTACCTAAACCTTTTCAATCTGTTCATTATCTGCAAGGAATTTGTTGTGCACATTCATTATTCTGTATCAGATTTGTTTTAGCTGGACACAAGTAGTTGTAGGGGAAGAATTTGCTGAGGCCAGCCACTAATTAGAAACTGGATTTTGAATTGCGCTTGGTTTTAAACAGTACAAATACTAATATCTATTTTGTTTTGATATTTAATTTTTTAGTGTTGCAAATGTATCACGACTATATAATTTCTGTTTGCCCTGAATAGATTGTGTAGTGTCCAGAGTTAGCAAGCTACTTTGAAACAAGGCTCATAATTTACAAGTATAGATATTTTTAATAAACAGCTTTCAGTACGTTCCAAAGCACGGTTTATAGTAGTAGGATGGGAACTGCAATTCTCCATCTGCTTTTAAAAAATTAGAGGGAGGATTATAAAAGTAGTAAGAGAAAGAATGAGAAAGAAAGCCATGATTGCCGATACAGAAAAGTCAAAAAAGATGTCTGTCAGCTCAATGAGTGCTAATTTCTGTAGACATTCAAGAGCTTTAAAAGCAATGGTTCATCAACAAATTATTGCAAGCCCATTAATACAAATGACAGAATCCTAAATTTAGCATATGATGTTTGCAACCGTTCTCGCCGAATCAGATGTGGAACGTGGCCTCACTTTCCCAGATTTCACCCGCAGCACGTTCGGCTCTGCGGGGCAGTCGTCGTCTGCCCGCCCGAGCCCGCTCTGCTCCGCAGCCACGGCAGGAACACCGGGCTCGCTACCTGCCTTCCGGAATCATTCACCAGGCGTACTTTTTAAAATGCTAATTAAAACATCCTTGATGTAATCAGATGGCAGGTGTAAGAGTAACAGCTAAAGAGATTTGATTATAAGTGGTTCTCAGAAACATGGTAAGCAACTGATAGCCAGGTAGAAGTGCTGCTTTGTTTATGTAGCATTTATGTAAATTAGGGTGTAATCAAATATACACTTGCATTTTCCTCACAGGCCTCAATTAACCTTCCTTTTCTATTCCTACCACATCATTTATTTAATGTAAGTAGGCTATGTCTAATGTGAGTACTGTCTACACTCTGGGTTGCTGCAAGTTAGTAATTTTTAGCCCATTCCCTAAATGTACATATTTTAGCAAGATTTTAAATACTTTTCAACATGAGCAACTGTCATTCTGAAACACAAAGCGTCTGGTCATAAACAATAGCTGGAGACCAGTCAATTAAAATAAAGCAAGTTTTACACAGTATAAGAGCTAATTCAGCCCATGAAGACATCTGAGGAGCTCTGTTCTTCGGAGTCCATGCTATGTGAGAAAGAAAATGTCTTCCTTCAGACATCAACGTTCAGATGCAGAAAATGTGACCTCATGGGAAAAAGCACAGCAGATACTTGATTTCCTTGGAAATACACCAAAATAATCACTGCAAAAATATCTTATTGATTTTTGAGCTTCTTAGGATTACATTTTCCATCAGAAAATCCACGTTAAGTTATCATTTCTTTCGTACTACTACATTTAGCTGGATCTTCTTTGTAGTGCTTAAGCTCACTGATTTGTAATCTCTGGTGTTCTCCATAATCCTCCAAAAACCTCACGTGATTCCTGTCAGAGCCTTTCTAAATGTTATGCTGTGATGTAATCCATCCTACCTCAGCTAAATGCATTCAGTGTTCTCCACTGATATTGATTATCCTATCAGTTACTGCAGTGTATAGGTACCAAATAACTAAATGGCTGAAACCACCCTTTCTGTTAACTATTGGTTAAAATACCTTTTGTTCTGAAATTCTTGGAATGTTTCTAATTGTGATGTTTTGGTGGACAGCCAGTTCTGTGGCGGGTTAAAAACTCTGCCCCTTGATTAAAGCCTCCTTTTGTTTTTGTTTTAGGTTGAAATTAGTCCCCTGGAAAATGCAATAGAAACCATGCAGCTAACAAATGATAAGATCAATAATATGGTTCAACAGCATTTAAATGATCCAAATCTACCCATTAACCCCCTCTCGATGCTACTTAACGGCATTGTGGATCCTGCAGTCATGGGAGGGTTCACAAACTACGAGAAGGTAACGTCAGAATTATCTTTGAGCTTGGGCTCAACTGGAATGCTGCCGGGCACGTGTGTGTGGTTTTGTATATAAACAATATGTGAGTCTCCCCTTCTGGGTGCTTTGTAGAACGTTGCCTAGAACTAAACATTTTTAATGTCTTTCTGATATTTCTGGGTATGTTTTTGCCTTTCGATATTTGAAGAAAGAGTTGGTATGTTTTGCAGCAAGAGTGCTTACGTAGGGACAGGGTGGGCAATTCTGTACTCGAGTTAGACACTGAGTCTGATGTTCCCGGTGTGTGCCTGGACATCAGAGCTGAAGCAGGAATTTTTGGGTGAAATTCAGTGACCAAAGTAACCGATTGCAATTCTCTCCTTTGCTCGCAAATGCGTGAGTTTTTAAAGGATTAATCAAATGGTAGAGACTTCTGAGATACCAGTCAGTTGCAAATATGTCTAAGTAATCTTAACTGCATGTCTACAACATTAGCTTTTAAAGTTATGTGGGATGAGATATTAACACTGAGAAGCTATAAACACTGTATCTATTATATAAGTAGTGAATATTAATCATGTTAAGCTAGCATACACAAACAACATGTATTTCGTAACATAAATGGAGAAGGCACATGCTGATGGACATGTTGCTGTGTCCATCCATTTATGTCCTGCTGTAATTCTCACCCACTTCACCTAGTAAAATTTCTTTATACCCTGGGAACTGCTAGAAAGATATTTCAGACATGGGCCAAGTGCACTGCAGGGCTGCCCATGAGATTTGGTCTTGATCACCGCATGCTCATCTGCCTACTTTACTGGTTGCAAAAGATTAATGTCTTAATCTTAAAACATTGTTAAATTCTGTTTCTCTTTCCTAGATTTTCACTTTGTATTTGTAGCTATTACTGGTATTTTGCAGAACTCATGATTGGATTAATTTATCTTTGCTGTAGATAATTCTTCCATGATAGTAGGTGTTGATTCGTTTTCTGAAATAACTGCTCATTCCTCTCTCTTGACTAGGCTTTTTTTACTGAAAAATATATGCACGAGCATCCAGAAGATCATGACAAGATTGAAAAACTGAAGGATCTGATCGCTTGGCAGGTAAAAAAATTTAAGTCAAGTTAGTCGGGGCCAACTGCTGTACAGTTTAGTGTCACTTTTGAGAAAATTCAGACATTAAACTGTTCACCCAGTGTACACTACTTTGCAATTTAAAACTGTTTTGGAACTTTAGCTCAAGTTCATCTTTTCAAATCTGACATCATTTGTCATTTGAGAAACCCACAACGAACAAATATGATCAACCTCTTTTATTTCTTTCTTTTTTGTTTTTTTTGTTTGGTTGTTTTTTTTTTTAACCATAATTTGGTGAAAATATCCCATCTATATCAAATGAGAAAATATTTTGTAATAATGTTGGTTGGTACTCATGTCAATCTAGTTTTGCATTTTAATTTTTTAAGGCTGATTTCAGAAATTCTTCTCGGACAGTAAGATGAAATGCCTAACCTTGAATCTGCTTGCACACACTGGGACAGTGTTTCTTCACATATTCACTTCTTTCTTCAAACAACATATTTTCTATTTATTAAACTTTCTATATATACTTACAGTACCTTTTAGCACATAATATTAAATGTGAGAGTTGCAAAAATTAACTTGCATGCAAAATATTTAGTACCTTCGTCTAGACGTTGTGAAACCCTTGCTTCATTTGCTATATAACTTACCATGGTACAAAAACATTAATGATTCGTAAAGCATGTGAAATTACTTGGTATTTTTATGATGACACGTTAGAGAAGAAATCATTTAAAGGTAGGATCACACGGGCAATATTTCCCGAACAGAGAATGGAACCCAGGTTTCCAGCCCCGTGCCTGAGACAAAGCAGGCACCCTCTTGCGTGAAGAACTGCTTTTGCATGTACCAAAGGATATTTTTCAGGACAAACAAGAAACAATTCCAATTCTGTTCCACAGTCACATAGTGGACATTTTCCAGTGGTCTCAAGGTAATTTTATGATAACTAGAGGAATACCAATATGGTTGGAAGTGTTTTTGCCACAGAAGAATAAAGTGCATGATTGTCTTTTTATATTAAATTTTTTCTTTTTAATAAAGGGTATAATCTCCGTTTCTATAGGCTTCAATCTTAGAAGCAGTAGAACCAAAGATACAGAATTTCAAAAACAAAAACAAAAAAATCCTCTGAAGACCATAAAATTATCACTGAATAAAAACTACTTTGGTCTTCAAAAAAATATCTGCCTATCTACCTACCTACCTACCTACCTACCTACCTACCTACCTACCTACCTATCTATCTATCTATCTATCTATCTATCTATCTATCTATCTATCTGTCTGTCTATCTGTCTGTCTATCTGTCTATCTATCTACCTATCTATCTATTTATCATTTTCTTGTGAGCTTTTACAGAAGATTAGATTTTAGGAGCTTTAGATTTTATAGAGGAAAATAATTTGGTCCCAGAAGACCAACTTCATGTCAGCTCTCTGTCTTTGCCTCTGATAGCGGTACTTCAAATGAATTACAAACACACTTTTCCTTAGCAAAGATTCACTTTGGTGACACTTGTGTATTGAAATAATGCTATTTGAAAATACATATGGCAGCTAATCACACTGTATTTTAATTATTCAGTGGCTTTAAAGACATAATTTCCCATCAGTCTTGTATCTTCAAAACAACAGGAGCCAGAAAAATAGAGAAAAGGGATCAAAAACTATTTTTAGAACTGAAAATTCTTTTCACTAAAAGGTCTAGACATTTCACGGTGGAAATCAGTGCTTTTAAATTACCTTAGACGCTCTGTATACATTTAGTGTATCCTAAGACTTAATCTTCCTCTCAAATTATTTCTGTTTTCAGAACGCAGGCAGCATAAGTAGATAGTGGGGTGGGGAGCCGGCTGCCAAATATCGGCTGGTGTCAGGCGAGGGAGTTGTTATGGAAACTTTCCGAAGTGAGGCAGTGGTCTGAATTCATCATGGGCTTGACAGTGATTGAAAGGAAAAATGAGTTTTCATTTTTCAATAATGTGGGGCTTGGAGTTTTGTAATCACATGGAGATTTTCTTTATGCTGTATAAATCAATCTGGATATGTGAAATAGTATCCTGACAGTCATATTATCAGCTGACTAGTTAAATTTAATTTTATATCTATCCCCTTACCTTAACTTTTTCTCCATTGTGCTATGGAATTCATTCTCTTCAGTATATTGTCCTTTTGTAATTCCTGTGAACTTTAAGTGTACCTTTTTTTCTGTCTGTTATTTTCAGATAAAAACCATTAGTAAAGCAATGTCCATCTTAGTGCTTTTCTGACTTAGAAAAAAATGTTTCCATGAAACTACATAGCTGAACTTTTATTTTAACATGAAGATAATTAAATGATTGATTGAAATGATGGTAATGAAATGAATGATTGATGACATTAGTCAGTCTGTGTTTAGCTAATGTATTTACAGCATACCAAAACTGGTATGTCACATAAAAATCTTGTGCTACTTCTACATAGCTGAAAGAATTGTAGCATACAGAACTAAATTTCTACAATCATATTTTATGATACCATTATTATGAAAGATTTTCATTTAAGATTTAAGATTTTATATTAATTTTAATAACTCAATGTCTGTAGCTTTTTCATTCTTCCCAGCTAAGAAGATCAAGATCTTTAAAAAAAGAGAAGGATAATCAGGGAATAATTTTAAGTTGCAATGGAACTTTATATGGTTTTAAAACCAGCAAAGGTTAGAGTTATGGCATAAGTGCGATCTTGGGCTGGTTTCCTTTCTCATTCAGCTCCTTTATTTCTAGTTCAGCTACTTACATTACCTCTACTTTTTCAGTCTCCTCTCCAAAGGTGAGGATGCCCTGTCGGGCCTTCTGAAATGGAGCCGTAAACAAACCCACCCGTTGCTCCACAGCCAAATGAATTGGCACTATTGTGAATGTGGCAAAATTCTGCCTCTCTCTCCACATCCGACAACGATTCATATAGATTTAAAATTCAGTGTAACTCACCACCGGATTTCCCTGTGTCACTGTCTAGAAAGGAGACGTGGGAAGAAATTTGAAGTTAGTAGAAGGTGGTGAAGCAGAAATGGTCAAACAGTCCGAAGGTACTTTCTTTCTGTACTTGATAAATGTTTGAAGAATTAGGTGCTCTTGGGCAGGGACACCAAATATCATGACTCAGAAATCTCACAGAAGTTCTGTAGCAAAGCCATGGAAAGTTTATTAAATTCTGCTTCTGATAAGGAATAACAAGCCTTTTCTTCTTCTGTGGTTTCTGGTCGTCTTCCATTCCCTTACAGCCGGTGCCTCCTCTTGCCTGGCCCTCAGTCTCTTGACCCAACAGTTGCTGTACCAGGAGGCCACCAGCCTTTAGGTGCTCACGTTCTCCCAGCCCAACCCACACCCACTCCAGCAGACGTGGCCATCAACCCTCCTACTATTTTGCTTCTCCAAGTGCCAGAAGGTCTCCGTGGATGGTTGTGTACCCCTGGTGTATACCAACAGTGAAACCCTCCTTAGCACCTTCCATTTGGTGTACAGAAGGAAGCACCTACTTTTTTTTTTTTTTTTTTTCCTGACTGGGACATTTCCCTACAAAAGATGTCATTCAGTTCATATTGCTTGGTTTTCCAAACTGGAGATGGCTGATCCCTAGGACAGGCTCATTAGTGCATTTTCTGCTTGTAAAAATTATCTCAGAGCTGAAGCTTCAGACCCCACGTGTACTTCGTCTTGGTAATTTGATTTTTTAAAAAGAGTCCATTTAAAAAGTCAGCAGCTTCTTTTAAATAAATGGGCCAAGTGACCACTTATCCCTGCAAAATCGGAGGCTCACTGTGTGTCCTGATAATTACGACAATTTGGAAATTAATTTGCTTGTTCGGAGCAGGGAAATTCTCTGAATCCGTTGCTTAATTTTTGTGGAGTGCAAATCCATACGCTCTAAATAGAAGTGGCTACAGCAAAACCTTTTGTCATTATTGTTACTTCACTTTGTAGCCTTTTAGGAGAGGAAACTGTGTCCATTTAAATAGTGCCAAATCACAGAGAATCATCTTGATAAGATTTCTTGAGTTTGTTCATCTGTAATTCATCTGTGTATTTGTTATTCTCCTTACTAATAAAGTTACTCCTTCTGATTGCTGCTCAGTCTTATTAGAAAGATCTGTTTTTAATCAGTATTATGATTTAATTATGAATTATTAAGAAGAAGCCTCTTAAGTTGATTGCTGCAGAGAATATCTAAGTTAGAATCAGAGCACTGTGTGGGCTGGAACGGACCTGGAAGAGGAAATATTTTTCCTAAGCTGGAGATAGAAAACTTTAATGGTATGTCTGGATAGCTGTGGGAATGAAAATGTCTCTCTGAAAACATTTTAAAAGGTCAGCTACACCTCCACACTATGAACTAATTATATAATCCTGTGTTGGCATGGATATTTTGTGACAGAAGCCTTGAAGATAAATGATTATTTTCAGTTACAAAAGATAATTAATTTTTTTTTTCCTCTTCTCTTTTCTTCCCAAAGAAAATAATTTTTCTAAGGAAAAATGTATAATATATAAAACTATATGCTTTACTAGTAAATACTGTTATGCAATATATACGTGTCCAGGGATGTAGATCGTTTGCAGTTTTAGAAATAGCAATTATTAAAGAAAACATACAAGTACTTTCTCCTTCAAGGTTCTATTCTCATGAAACTGAGAAAGGACTGATGTTAATAACCCGGCGTGAGAGTTGTCATTCATCAGTTTGCCATTTTAAAGTACAGCCTGTATGGGGGCCTGTGAATAGAACATCACAGGAATATTTGTGCTATCTGATAAATTCAGCTGTGCCTCCAGTGTCTGATTACTGGGCAGAACTATGGGTGTATTAATTTTGAAGGACCTTGGTTAACAGATCAAAAAGGAAATCCATGGGTAAATAGATTTTTAGATCCTTTTTTACTCTGTTGTGCTTCATATACAATGAGTGATGATGATGATGATGATGATGATTATTGTTGTTGTTATTATCATGGCTGGTGGTGGTGGTAGTAGTAGTCCATGAGATCTTTCACTCCTCTTGCAACACCGGTGGGAGTCTTGCCCTGAGCCTTTGCTTAGGGAGGGCTGGGCAGGTCGAAGCAGCATACCCCTGCTTTCCAGATCCCGTTCCTGGCGGAAGGCATCCGGATTCACGGGGAGAAGGTGACGGAGGCGCTGCGGCCGTTCCACGAGCGGATGGAGGCTTGCTTCAGGCAGCTTAAAGACAAAGTGGAAAAACAGTACGGGGTGCGCGCTGCCGTAAGTTACCTGCTAACTTCATGTTTCCTGAATAAGTGGAATTTCTTTAAATTACGGGCAACTGTGTATTTCTGTATTATAATTACCACTGATTGAAAAAGCAGTGTTGATGCAGCATCGCCTGGTTGTTCTCAGTGGTCATCGAACCACTGAATACTGAGCAGATGCTGTATGAGATGTTCAGAAAGCCTTGGTGCTTTCATTTTCTAGCATGGGAACAATTTCTGAATTGCCTGAGTCTGTTCCTTGAAAGTCAAGATAATTCTTCAATATCCCATTTTTAAGGAATTGGGTTTAAGAAAAAGGAAAAAAAAACTTGCCACTATAGGATGATTCTTCTAGAGCTGAATGTCACCTTTCAATAGATGTAATTCCTTTTGAGATGGGAGGGCTGTGCTGCTCTATAGTAGTAGTATGCAGTTTTACGTACTCTGGCACCAACCTAAGTGTAGGCAGGCAGTAAATGGGTAGCTGCTACTTAATGAGATTTTACTAGTGCTGGAGTTCTTGCTTTTGTCATTCCAACAAGCTTCATCTTTAAGGCACAGCCAAGAATTTGGTGATATTTACAGTGGGGTTTTGTCCTGCTTTTAATTTGAGTGTTGCCCATTGGGGAGGAAGGCCAAAAGCCAGCGTACAGCTTCGTAATCGAGAATATAATGGATAATTCAATCAAAAGCTACGTGGATTGGTGCTATTATATGAATCGGTTCTAAAAAAGATTTAAAAACCCGAGATGCAAGTGATTAGGGTTGCTCTAAGACTGACTATGTGGAGCTGATGTCCTAATAATATATTGAAGGCTGCCGGGGTGAGCTTTATCTCTGTCTACTGGTACTCCTGACAGTGGTACTGTAAACATGCTATAATTTTTAGGTTTATTTGGGAAATGACAGTAGTACGTGAAACTTGTATATGCAGTACATCTCACTACTCCAGAAAATAACACACATGTATTTACCAGAAAAGACCCATATGCACCCCACACACCGGGTTCCCCTGGGGAGGAGGATGGCATCACAGGGTGCTGTGGTGGAAGTGGCCTGTCCTTGGCATGTTGGAAGTGCCAGGAAATTCTGGGGTCCCCCCTTCTGCTGCAAAGGCTTTAACTGAGCTTGGAATTGTGAGATCTACTCGCTGTTGGGTTGACTTGTTTGTTTTGGTTCAACGTATGTAATTAGATTTCAAGCTGTAGCACTTATCCAAGGTTTATAGAAAAATTTACATGTGGCCTGTAACAACATACGATTTATCTGCAAATGAGCAAATAGTGTGGTATCATTTAGGATCATACGCATTTTCCCCAAATTGAACTCCAGAATATGCTATGCCAGAAACCATTTCCCACGGAAAGGACTGGTACTAAAACCAAACCATCTAGAAAAGCATTGATTTATTTTTAAGATTGCATAGATCCACCATCAACAAAAGCCATCTGAAAACAAAGGGAATCACCAGCAGACCATTAATTACTGGGCCGTGGTGCAGGAAAGCCAGCTTGCCAGCCTAGTCTTTGGACTGCCGTCTCATCTCCATCCCTGGCTTTCCCTGGCACCCTGGAAGCAGATAAGGAGTTAATGTAATCTCATTAACTGCCTTTTAATAAGAAAGCCAAGTAGCAGGTCCCAGCAGGTGAAGGACGTGGCATCAGGTGCTTCCCTGCAAGCGAAGTGGTGGCTTCCTTAAGAAAACACCAAATTGCATCGTTGCCCCACTTGGGGTTGGGTCATCATCTGCGGAGGTGCTGCATCAATTCACATATGTATTGAAGCAGATACTACTTCATGGGCTCAGATTTTGAAGGTTCTCTCTGCAACCATGAGGCTAAAAACATCTGCAGTTGTGGTTTTCACCTTGTGCCTGAAAACTCAGTGTCCAAAGCACAATGGCACAGAGGGATCACCAAGAAAATAGTGCTTTCTTCATGCCCCTCCTGCCTTCCCATTCTTAAATCCTCCAAGGCAAGAATATCAGATGGGAGTTCCATCACAATCTAGTCCTTAATAAATTAAGAAATAAAAGATTGAGAAATAGAAGAAATTAAATTGATAACAGTTACAAGTTCTCTAATTTTACTTCTGCCTCTAAATGAGCAGCAATCACTAAACTGATTTGAAAAAGAATGACTCAGCCAAAATATTCCTGAACAGCCTTAAATCAGCACCCTCTTCATCCAGTTCTGATTATGGTCACTAATGGGTGCCACCGAGTGTATCGATGTTATCCCAATCACATCCATATAAACAGGGTGCGAATTTGGTTCCAAATTATCTCTGGAAAATCCCACAGAGATTTATTCTGAAGAGTGGATGATGCGGGCTGTGGTGAGGGAGAGGGCTTTGGCTTTCTGCTCAGTGAGGTGCAGAGCATCCTGGGCCACGGAGGTGGCAAGAACGATGCTGCAGCAGATGGGGCAGCAAAAATGTGCCAAGTGACATTCTCTGAGTGCCCAAAACGTTGGGAGAATAGTACATGCCAGTGAGGTATCCTGTTGTATTTTATGACAAGCCTTCCTTCAGAAATTAATTTTCACTTTTGTCTGTAGCAGTGACATTTTTTTTTTTTTAATGGGAACACTGAGATCTTACGGGGAATATGCCAGCCTTTATGGTATCCTTCTAAGTGGTGTTCCGTTTGTAGTCCTTCAAATCCCATCTTGCTAATATATTTAGGAAAAGTTCAAATAGCAATTTATTCCCAAGGAGAACAGGAATAATTGACATTAATGATACTTGCATGTCAGTCACTTCAATAATATACATTTACATCATCAGGGAGATGACTGGAAAGTCATACGCAGGTGGTGTTATCTTTCTAATTTCACTCTACCCACCAGTAAGAATTGTCAGAGTTGATGGAGTTTTATCGCTTCTGTCTTCCTTGTACAAGGCCAATTTACCAGTAGTTGTCAGGGTGGAAAATATACCTGTAATTAAACAGCATGAGATTCTTATTTGTTGACTGAAAGAGTTCAATTATTTTATGCATACATCAGTTATTAATGACTAACAAAGCTTGTATAAATATTCAGAACTCTGAAATTGTCTGAAACAAAACAAAAATCTTTCATATATTTTCTTCTTAACCTAGATGTCACTCTGTAAATTGACTCTCTTGACATAAACTTCATCTTAATGGGTTTTTTCTTCTGTTTTTTCTTTAAAAAAAAAAAACAAAAAACAAAAAACAAAAAAAAAAAAAAAAAAAAAAACCAAACAAAACTTCATTTAATTTAAATATACTGACAGGGCCGTCACTTCAATTGCAGAGATGGCTTAAAAAACCAAAAGTTTTTTGTAGAAAGCTCCTTCTTTAAATCCCAGATATAAAAAAGCATGTAAATACCATTAAAACAAATTATTGGAACATGTTTAAAATTGTACGTGTGCCTACGAGGACCTGAATATTTCTTCCTAGTACTTTAAATGGGTTTTCTTTAGAATTTGTTTCTTTGTTGTTAAACACAATGTATAATTACTTAATATAAAACTCTACATGGGAGAAGAACCACTGAACCGTTCCACATTACCTTCAGTAGCCAGATGTAAGCTCTACTGTGGTTTAAGAAGATCTTACATTTCTTTATAGCAGCTTTCAAGTCTGGATGACAGACGAGGCAGTCGGCCACGGTCCATGGTGAGATCCTTCACGATGCCGTCATCTTCAAGACCCCTCTCCGTTGCGTCGGTGTCTTCCATCTCCTCCGACAGCACGCCTTCTCGACCCGGCTCGGATGGGTGTGTAAGAAGTACTTCACTTGGGTTTTATCTCTCTCAGGCGTGATTTGGTGTGCACATCTGTAGGTTTTGAGGAGGATTGTCACCACCTTCTGCAGATCTCGGTGCTATCACGGTGTTACTCCTGATCCTACTGACTCCTCCTGGGTGGCAGCGTGAGCGTTTGTTTGCTCCCATGAGGAACTGTGGCCTTTTTTTGGTTGGGTCTTTTCCCAGTGTGTTTTATTCCAGATTTGGTTCGTCACGATACTCCATGAACGTTGATGTGACACAGCAGTGTGAATAACTAGTGTGGGGTGGAGATGGTGCGACAGCCTAATATTGGCCAAATTAAAACAACCTATATAGACATTTATCTCAAGATCTATTCCTTGTCCTATTTTTTTAGCCAAGATAAATACAAATATCTTCTTGGTCCTCTTTTAAAACAAAGGTAAACAAAACCCCCTCCAACAAACAGGAGATAAATTTTCCCCTTGTAAAATATTGCAAGTGTAATAGTTCAGAAGTGATTTTTTGCAAAATTGGTGATGAGATGTGCGTTCAGCTGGTCTTGTAAAGAGGTGGACCTTGGGAGAAGGAAGGGATTATCGATCTGCTCAATCATTTCTTCTCACTTCTGCTGCCAGAGGAAAAGCTGCTTATGGCAAGATTGTACTTCAAGACTTACCAAGATATTTCACATGAGAACTGGGAATTCTGTTGATAAGCCTTGTCTCATAGTCATGTCCCACAAAAGAACAAAATAATCTGATTTTTTTCTGGGATTTCCATGCAGCCTCAGAAGTCCCTTCTCCCTCTTCTTCTCCCCAGGCATTCTTGTAATCCAGAAACTCAATATTTAACTGAGGCAGCAGTTTTTTAAAAGCCTCCTGAAGGGCTGCCAACTTAACAGAGATGTGCTAGAAAAGTTAGTGTCCCTTGTACACCTTCAGAGGTAGTTATTACCCAATTAGAGAGTAAAAGCATCAAGTAAAATTAAATACAGCACCTAAGGACCAACATGATGCTTACCTTGATTACAAACAGTTTATTTACCCATTAGGAAGAACAGCAAACAGAGCGCAATTCAGCTCTCATTACATTGCCCTCTGTAACGTATACACAGTGAGTCATGTTGATAAAAATGTAGGACAGCAGAGACGATAATGCATTTTGACTAATTCATCCATGAAAGGTGTCTTGCTGGAACTTGGGGATAACTACCATCCCAGGTTAGTGGGCAACTTTATTTTATGTCAGAAGGAAAATACTGATTATTTCCCTGCCTGTCTCTACCTCTTTCTCTTCTTCCCTTCAAAATTGTTACATGTATTTTTCTTTTTCTCCATTGGATGCTGTTTTCTTAATTTCTGCATCTCCATCCCAGGTTTCCTTGTGGCAGGTGTCACTTAGCAGTTTTGGAGGATTTCATGAGTCTGCTCAGTATGTATATTAAAAAAAAAAATCACAAAGATCACAGTGCAGCTCAGCTCCAGCTCCGAGCCTAGGGCAATACAGCTGGAATACATGTGAAGAAAATATAATTAGCAACTGTCATCACTGAGAAGACCTGAAAAAAAATGCTCATTTGCTTGGTCAGTGGAGCAGGAGAAGAAAAATTATCAGATGTAAATAACGTAATGAAAGACCTCAAAGATTCAAATGATTGCAAAAATCACGTGGGTGGTTTGTCACTACTAACTTGGAGGAAGTTCTCCCATGTACCTACCGTAGTTGATTGGGTTTGTGGTCAGTTGTCCTCTCCTGCTTTCCATTTCCCCCACTCTTCATATGCTAATTCTGAGATTAGAGGTGAAGCAAAGAAAAACAATGACAAATGGAGCCGACACACTGTCTCGCCCAGATTACCCAATTTATATTTTATGCCATCTCCAGTTTCTCCTGCTTTGGAGCTTTTAAACAATAAAAACTCAAAGCAGACATTGACATAGTATGTGGTTTACAGCTCCCGATTCTACGTATGAATAAAACTCTGACTTTAAAAAAGGACCTTGGGTTTATTCACTGCTTAAAATGGGACTTAGAAGTACAAATCTGAGCATTTCCAAGCAGTGGTTGAAGCGGGGAAGTCCCAGTGCGCCTGCGTGTCTGTTGAAAGTCCTCATGTACTTCAAGTAGGAGCATGGCATGCAAGCTCATTTTTATCCCCGATACATTGCGTACAAATAATTAATAGTACTAATAATAGTAATGCCGGGCAGGGAAGCAATTAATCATTGTCTGAAGAACGGCAGTTCCTCTTGTAACCTTGCAGTCAGCCTGCGAGGCGGCTGTCGCTGCCCTCCAGCCCAGCGGAAGCGGCTAAAATGTGCAATTCAGGTGGCTGAAACGCGGTGTTGGGAGAGCTGTCTTCTGATCTGGGCTTTGTCACCGATGCGTTTTGTAGCCCCAGGCAAGTCACTGCCCTCTCTTTTCCCTGCCTGTAAAACGGGATGAAAAAAAGCTTGCAGGTTTGTCTCCCAGCCCGTGTGATTTTGGCTTCGGTTACAAGGGGAATGGCTCAGGGGCCGTTGCCCCGAGCACTGGTTTGAGCATCTTTCCATCAAACGAGCTAACTTAGGCTGAAAACTGAAGGGCCTTTATTGCTTCGAGCAACAACAACAACAAAAAAAATCATAATTATGGATATTGCTGCTGGATATTGCTGCTAATGGAGATGATTAGGATAACTTCACTGCAAATTGTCTGAAATGTGAATCCTCCAGTGTTTCGCAGCAAAGACTGTGGCCTGTACGTGCACACACCCCAGTGTAAACACTTTTCCAATGTTATAAAGTGAGCTGGTTTCTTTGGGGATTTTTGGTTTGGTTTCAGCTCTGTAATCTGATTGAGACATCTTCTTAAAATCTGTCAGTGTAATTTTGACTAGGGTATGATTTAGTAGTTTGTTTACTTTACAACATAAGATAGAATCTAAAATACTTTGCCCAGCTAAGAATATTTTAGCTTGTTAAGAGCAAAATATTTCTTTACCTTTTATTTAAACTAATGTTTAAAGAAAATGTGAAACAAGAAAGATTCCTTTAAATTACTGAGCAAAAATTCACTAAAAAGAATTCCACTATTACTTAGAATAGTGCTTTCCCTACAAAATAAGAACTCTTTAAAAAATGAAGTTTTCCTTTAAAAGTTCATTGAACCCCTACAGATTTTTTCCTTTGTAGTCAGAAGAAAAATAGTCATGGACTGTAAAAATTGCAGAGCTGATGGTAGTAGTATATCAGCCTTGCCTATATTCACACACTTGAAGTATTCCAGGTGGGAAAATACATCTGTTTTTTTGGAAACTAACCTTGCCCTTTGTTATTATCTGAGCAATTTTTCATTCTTGAGTTTATCTGTAATGCCAGGACAGCTAAGCTCAGCCCTCCTGGCTCCCCCTCGCCAGGGCAGGCTGTAGGTGAGCAGAGGTGTGGATCTGTGAGCATCCGTGTGCACGCTCGCATGGATATGTACCCTCATGCATGCATGCAGAACCAAACGTACACTCAGTGCAATTACAGTCAGGAGTGGGGCTTGTGTCTGTGGTTAAACCTCTACACCTCATGCTTTTGTGCAATGCATAGGTGTTTCCTTTGCGTTAAGGGGTGATGTTGTTTGCTTTTCTGTGAGCAGGTCCTGTGATTTTGATGAGCTACGAGGATTAGAAAGCGGTTTATGTTGTGCACGTTCAACAGAAAATCAGTACACCTCTGCAAAACAATTTCTCAACTGTTATTCCTTCTCTGGGGAATAAATCCATCCTCTTTCTCCACCAAAAAAAACAAAAAACAAACAAACAAAAAAAACAAACAAACAAAAAACAAACAAACAAACAAACAAACAAACAAAAAAAAAAAAAAAAAAACAAGAAGAATTTGGGAATTTGGCTATTTTTTAAAGAAATCCTTAAAGCCATTGGTAGACATACAGACTGCCTCCAAGGTGCAGGGGAAGTAGGGGTGACTTTTCTTTAATGTGTTGTACAGTGACCTGCTCTCATATAGAGTGGGAGAAACTCGGGTTTATGTAAACCACATACAGTGAAACTCAGGAGTTTGCGTAGCTGCAAACCAGTAAATTTACTACAGAGGAGGGAAATGTGCAGTACTGGTTCTTCAGCAGTTCTGCAGTAAATTTTATTGTAAGACAACTATGATTGTAACAACCTTCTGCCCCTTCCTTTTCTCTCTAATGAGTTTTCCTGGATTAGCAAAGCATCGTTAACTCGAGTGAGAGTTTGGGAAATATGTAAATGAAAATTAGGTGTTTTGGAAATATTATGTTATTGATCTAAGCAGCAACATTTTTTTTTTTAGGTTTGTGCTGGAGCCCCTCCTGCCAAAAAAGATGCATTCTAGGTCTCAAGATAAATTGGACAAGGATGACCTAGATAAAGATAAGAAGGAAAAGAAGAAAGAGAAAAGGAACAGCAAGCATCAAGAGATATTTGATAAAGAATTTAAATCTACTGATATTTCTCTGCAGCAGTCTGAAGCAGTGATCCTTTCAGAAACGGTAACTTTATTAGCAAGTAATGCCTTATCTAATTTTGAGCAGTGTTCTTTCTCTTTTGAAATAAAAATGTTGATTTGTACGATTTGGGTTATTTTTAGACCAAAAATAGCTCTAAGGGAGCACGCTATGATGTTAATGCATGATAATGAATCAAAAATACCAATTTCATTTATGGTGTAAAAAAAATCATCATTGTATCTCGTATGAAAATCTTACCAAAAGCTATATATGACTATTTGATAAAAGAAACAGATGGTATATCTTAAGTAAAATAAATGCTACTATTTTAGCCGCCTTTTGAATTTATGGCTCCCAATAGATCGTGGTGGGTTTTCTCATATTTCAGCTGACTACTGCAGTACACTTTTTGGTGGAAATGTTACAAGGTCATTTCTTGCATGGCAATTATGTATTCTTGAAAGGCTGTTTTGAGCAGAAAATTGTAAGCAGTTCCACTGGTGGGTCTGTGTAAGAATATTAACTACAGGGCATATCTCTCTTAAGCCCTTGCTTCTTGGTGTATATTTAATTCACGGAAACTGTCCTAAAGGCTTAGGTAACTTGAGAAGTTTTGGCTCTGAAATCGAAAGCAAGGCCATTTTAAGCTGGATCACGGAATGCGCGAACTAACTGTAACCTCCAGATCTCTGCCTGGACACCTGTTTTGAGGCCAGTAGTTTAAAACTCACCCTCCAGAAATAAATGTAATGTTCTTTTAAAGATTTGCACAAGTACTTGTAGAGCCAACTTTTAACTCAGCAAAGTGTTTTGTTGGTGGCTGTGTCATTTACATTAGACTCTTAAAACCATTTCTCTCTGGCCTGTGATGACTAGATCCTTTGAGTCTTTCTGTTTGGTATTTGTAGTGGAATATTACTTAGATGTTCAGCCATAGTTCCTGTTTTCTGGATTTGCTCCTCCTTTTCCATCCAGAGATGAGCTGATCTTGCAGATGTGTCTTCTGACATCTTGGAAGATCAGAGTTGTTTTCTCTGATGGGGCCTCAGGCCCAGTACTAGCTCAGCAAAAAACTCAGATAAAATCCCTTTTGTGCATGTCAGGGTTTTCACCCAAACTCCTTTGAAACCAGTGAATTTTTCCATTGCCTTCAGCGAATTTTGGATCAGTCCTGGTCTGTTTAAGTAGGAATTCCTCCTGCCAAAGCCAGACAGGTCAGCACTGTTAGAGTGTTTTCAGACAGAAAATACGTTTTGCATTGATTTCCATATGTCTTACCTTTTTGAGGCAATGCATTCCACTCTGCACATTGCAGCAGCCGTATTTGGACTAAGCCTGAACGTTGCAATGGCAAGACTTGCACTCACATCTCCCAGGTCCCCAGACGGACTAGCAGAGCTTGTGGCAGAAGAGCAACAGAAGTGTTTCAGGGCAGCTCAGCCAGTACAGTACTGGTACAAATCCCTGAGATCAGATGGGAGGTGCCCAAGGATGCTGGAGAGCTGGTTGCTGTCACTGCAAGGTCACTGTCATCTTTGAGAAGTCTTGGATATTGGAGAAGATTGCTTATGACTGGAAAAATGCAAATGCTGGCTGAAAAGGAGGATGTGCTAACCCTTCAAGGCATATTCCTGTTTGTCACTTGAGGAACAAAAATGAGCAAGACCCAACATAGTTTGACTCAAGTATTCCACTCTTACCAGTCAAGAGCTTTCAGTGCATGACTGGTATGACTAATATTCCCCTGGTTATGGAGGGAGGGAAATTAAATGTCAGAATTAGTTACTTACAGTTACTTTGAGCTTCTTGAAATCCACAGATCAATAATATGAAAAGGAGTTTACTGGTGAGAGAAAAACACTCCCTTTTCAGTACCTGCAAACTACTTGATAAGCTCCAAAATGACCTGTTGACCAAGTCAATTTTTAATGCTTGGTGTTCATGTGGTTCATTTTCTCTTGTAGGTGAAGTAGAGGAAACACTCTTTTGAGATTAATTGACAAGAGCGTTTGTACGATTCCCACTCCTGTCTTCAGGAATTTTGTACAGATAATGTCAAGTAGTTTAAAGATAAAATTTTTCATGTCTTAGAAATTTTGCACTCTGGAGACATATGTCCCCTATTAATGATATAAAAGGGAAATTGTTAACTTCTGTGGGTAAGAATTCAGCTTTTCCATTCTTCTACTTTTGTGGGCTGTACTGTGTGCAAGTTCCCTTTTTAAGTTGGAATTGCTGCCAAAGCACAGTTACTGCTGTGTTTTATGAAGAAATAGGCGTTTTGATTTATCGTGCTAAGAGCTTTCAAGCAGAAAGTTTACAGGCTTAACAAAAAGATGATGATGAAATGGAGGGGGGGAAAATTAAGGATTGTTTTTTTTCCAAAAGAGCTGGAATCCAGATTTGAATAGAAATGGAAATTAAAATAAAGATTTAAAGAGCTTTTAAAGTGAGATTTTAGTAATAAACTGCTATTAGTGACTAGATTTTGTATTACAGTTACTGGATTCCTTCTGTTGACAATTTTAGAAATCACTTGTAGCATCGCTAATTCAATTCCAAGATTTCAGTTACTTGGCAATCTTTTAAAATATCTGGGTGTTTTACAACAGAAGACATGCTTTTCTTTAGTACGATGACGATTTGTAAGTACCTTCAAGAAAAGGAATGAAAGAGTAACAGCCAGCTTGGATTTGTCATCCAGGTGTCATCGCAGTTTGTGACCAGCCCGTGCCAGTTGTAGCTGGCAGGTAGGCTTCTGCTCACAGGTCAGAAGTCCAGTTTCAGATATTCACCCCCCACGCAGTTACCTGTTGCTTGACAACACTCATAATTCATCAAAATTACTCTTCACCCACCACAAAGAGGTGGTTGTCAGGGGTTTGCTTTCAGGAGGGAAGGATGCATCAATAACCTTATGTACAAATCCGTTCTGGGTCCTGTGTTATTCACTACTAATTGGTTTGTGCGACGTGATTGCAAGCATGGTACCAAATTTACAGAGACTGTCAAGTGGGAGGCACAGCGGGCATGTCAGATAGCGATCATTCCCATCTCTGCAGAGCTGCTGCTACTTTTTTCAAAGATGATGTTGTCTAATGAAATTAGCGTTTCTGTCACTGCAATGGACTTTCTTATGCAGGAACTTCTTTTTTTTCCAATCAAATGAATCGCCATAGTTGTCATGGGAAAATGTGTAAAGATTATAAAACTGCAGAATTATTTCACAGAGCTTTTACGTTTTCTTTAAAAAGGAGGATTCAGAGCCTGTTTTGTTTCACTGTACTCGTAATGAATTTATTGACTGATCAAAACCCAAGCCCTAATTGAAGAGATCTTGTACTGCTGTGATCTTATCAGAAGATAAATTAAGCACTTTGGTGTGTTAAGATGATCAGTAATGTCTTTATAGTTTTCTAGAGATACCTTCTTTTAAGTATCACACAAACTTCTTTAATGTAAATTCTCATTGTTAGTTCTTTGATTCCATGAGCTGATAGCAAACCTAACACTGAAGCTAGGTATTTAACAGACCACTCGAAAGCTTGTGTTAGAAATCAGAATAACAGGCTGTACATTTTATTGACTTAGTGGCGTCTAACATCAGTCACTATTGATCTTGCTTTGATTAGACCAAAAAAATTTAGCATTGGGTTCATTATGGATTAGTGGTCTCCAAAGAGTTCGTATTCCGTAGCAAAACTGTGATTTTTGGGAAGCCTTAAGAGGATCGAGCTTGTCAGTCACAGGAGAAGTTAAAATGTATCTGGGATAAATAGCTACAGACCAGGTTAACTGGGGAACTTGATTCTACTTGTTGGATTTTCTCTTGATTCTGGTATTGCAGCTTTCTGAATCGATTAGTGTGTTTTCCTTAGTAGTTTTTTTTTTATAATTACATGTCTCTGAGAAAGTGATTACTTTGCTTACCCACTCTACTAAAAGTATGCTTTAAAAGATCTTGAAAGAAGAAACCTTTGGAGCCTTTAAGACTTGAATTTTAGTATCAGGCAAATTTCTGAAAGGTTACCCTGAGGTCTTGATGAACTTTCAAAAGAAAGTTACATACTTTGTGGTCATTCGTTTCTCATAGAAGGGTCTCAGAGATGCTGCCTTTTATGCAAACCTTTTTAGGGTTTGTTCTCTGAAAATAAAAGGAAGCACTCATACCTCATTTTAGATTTCTCCTTCATAAAATACTTTAAAAAAAAAAAAAAAAAAAAACCAAAAAAAAAACTGTGAAATGACAGAATTCTTCGAAAAAGCATTAATTGTTTTTGTTGTTTTTTGTTTTGTCCTAATGCAGAACTTTGGATGCAATTCCCCTCTTAACTTCAGGCTGCTGCTCCATTTTCTGTGATCTCTAGGAAATAAAAAATTACTTTCTTCACTGCAATTACTAGAAATATGGGGGCCGGTGGATGGGTAACAAACAGTAGAGCTCAGAATTAAACTCAGTAAAAGGAATCACCTTAACGAAAGCATCAGTTGCCTTTCCGATTACAAGTATCATTTCAGGGTTTCTGATGGAAAATTTAAATGGGCTATGAAGCAGCCAGAAATAAACAATAAGGATATTTCAGTGATTTAAATACAAGCACAAACACGCACCAACAGGAAAGTGTTTCTGGACAGATGATGTCTTCTTCAGAAGCGAGTTTGACCACGCAAACAATTAAAGATATAAATTGTAAAAGGGAAGTAGAGCTGCATGAGAAGAAAAGATTTTGAATGCTGTATCATCTCTTGTAAGGGTATAGATTTCCTTAGCTGTTATTAAACAACAAAATTGGCTCATTGCTTTACAGAAAAATACACCAGGTTACGGGAAGGTTTGTGCATTAAGTCTCGTTGTGGTTCCTGAGGAGAAGGAAACAACATTTGGAGCTGTGAAATACTGCATTAAATTAGAAGTGTTGTTTGTTATTATTGCCCTATTACTGTTTAGGACGTAGTGAGGAAAATGCAGCAACCCCAAGGCCTGCTGCTCAGTAACAAGATATATTCCTTTACTGTCTCACTGGTTTTGTCCCCGTGCAGATCAGCCCACTAAGACCACAGAGACCGAAAAGCCAAGTCATAAATGTCATTTCAAGTGAAAGACGTTTCTCCGTCTCTCCATCACCTCCCAGCTCCCAGGTGACGCCACCCCCAATAACTCCACGGACAAAACTCTCTTTCAGCATACAGTCCAGTAAGTCTTTAATTTTAACTACATTTTCTTTTCCTAGCAAATTTTATGCAAAATAACCTACAGTGGGGAAATGTGTTTCCCGAGCACTGCGTTACACCTTGGTTTGAGTCCTTTGAGTTAGTCATTTTGCCATCACCATAGAATTGCTTGCAGGAACAAGAATTTACCTCTTAATAGTATGCTCCTTGCATTTGCCAACAAAAATTATGTCAGAATTTTACAAAAGCAAACAAAGTTGTTGCATTGAAAAAATTTCTTCTCCTTTTCAGGTAATCATGAGCAATTACTTAGGTATGGAGTAACTGTAAAAAATCAGTGTTGTACTTGGTTCTGTATTGCATTTAGGGTGTTTTGGAGCATAAATTCTGAAAAATAATAATCTTTTAATGTAATTGTACCTTAAAAGCACTTTTGTTTGCTACATAGTGAGTACAAGCCAGAGGGGGAAAAAAAGTCAGTCTTTTTGATGTATTTTTTGTTTGACATTGACATCTATCACTCAGTTTTTCTGTAAATTACGTTTGCTTCATCCTTCAGGAAACCTTATTGCAAAACTGGGTGTAATATGACACCTATTTATTTCACAGTGCTGTTTTCCAAAAACTGTCATTCAGAGTTTTCAGTTCCTAGCATGTGACCAACAAAAAATAAAAAAAAAAGATCTTTTTGATACATGTAGCAAAATACTAGTACAATAGTCAAGAGTTAAATGTTAGTAAAGAGGAGAAGATCAATTTTAAGAAAAAAATCTTGTTTGATCAAGGTCACTTTATTTCATTTACTTTTTTTGATACTCAAAAACTTTTCCCTGAAACAGCGTTTTAGAAAGTTCTTGTTGCCAGTTGCAGATATACATCCTGTGAGCAGGAATGTGTTTATTCTACAAACCTACAGCAACAGATTTGTCTCCTAAAAAGCATGTGGCTTTGTTGTAATGATTTGAAATTTTTGGTTGCAAACATGTGGAAGAGGGATAAGCAAGTGCAAATCAGTGTGGCGTTTCCTTTGCTTAGTCAGACACCCGAATCGAGTATTTTGATAACTGTGAACTCTCTCTTTACAGTTTTGATAATCAAAAACTACCAGTATGCTAAAAGCTGGAAATACACAGAAGCAGGGTATATATACTCCTGCAAAAAGTACTCTTTGAACTGGCTTATTTCTTCCTGTGTACATTTTATTAAAGCTAACTTGATCTCTTTTTTTAAAAAGTATCTGAAGCTATCATATATTTCTGAGAATATTTGCTGGCAACTATGTGCTGGCAATTTATGGGTGTAATGTAAAATAGGTTCAGCTTGTTGCAAAATCCACGAGACTTGCCCGTAATCATTTGAGGAATTGTAGTGATAAAAAATTTTAGGAATTCCAAGGGTAAAGAAGTTACTTCAGTGCACAAATTGACTGAAAGCAGTTAACGGGTTGCTAAGCAATACTGCTTGCTTGTTAGCTGGCAGTTTAGGAAAATGGAGTGTAAAATTTGGTCATTAGGTTAAGATGAAAAAAAAAGTCATCTAACTGATCTCTTGCCAGCTCAGAGATACTCTGAGTGGCACATGTCCAGTAAGGAATAAATATTTAGACCATACTAGTCTGATGAAACACCTTGAATAGTGACAGCAAACCAGAAATGATGAGTAATTATTTGTATAGTGACTGACTTAGTGAGGTATAGTTCAGCTGAATTGAGCAGGAGAAAATTAATAGCTCTGTAGAAAATAGATCTTCTTGAAGCATGACTGAAAATTACTGAAGTTTGTGTTCAATACCTGTTTCTGCAGTAGGGTAGATGACTCCTGGATTTCATTAAACTCTGAGAGATTAGCTAGTCAAGGCAAATAATTTTTTTCTTTCTAAAATGTTGTTCTGCTAAACAATTTGCCAGACTGAATGCAAATATGTTGTCAATGTATGTTATGAACTATTCACATGGATGGAAGCACTCTCTCCACATTTACGGGGGTTTGTTGCTGTCTTGTGAGAGGATGAGGTTGTGAAGGTGCCACGGACAGGCTGTAGGAACACAGTGGGTGCTCCAGGAAATTAGAGCTGTATCAGGAGCTGGGGGATGTGGGGAGAGGGATAGAAGCAGAGAAGGACAGAGTTGCATGGGCAGTTGGTGGCCATCCAGGTTGTTCACAGTATTGCAGATGTTAAAGTAGAGTTGCCTCCACACCTGGTTTCCTCTGCAGCTCTAATGAAAACATTAATATTGAAAACACCTGCCTTTCCATGGATCTTCCAATTGTGGACTTTAAAGAAACAAAGGGTTTGTGTAACTCCTAATAGAATTTCTTACCATCTTCTTGGTAGCACCTATTAGCCTACATGTAATGGCTTAGATGAAGTTAGTAGATACTGTAATATCATGTGAGATGCAAAGATGGAGTGTTCAGAGCAGTTAAATTTGCTTTATCTTTGGGTAGTTGTGTGTTGTTATAATAATTTTCAGTTTCCACCCAATGAATGTGTATAGTGAGACCTAGAACCATGGCTTGTTTACAGTAAATACCTAAAGAAGGTTTCTCTTTCTGAAGCAAGATTCAAGGTTCTGCTAAAGTTCTAGCAAAAGCTACAACTCTAAAGAAGATGCCATTTTTCAAAAATCTCCATTCTAAACTGCATGGAAAAACCAAACAAATGCATATATATAGAGAGATGTAGGTAGATACGTAGTTGTGGATGAAGACATGCAGGATATATGTCAAGGAGCTGCTTGTGAGATTTGGGGTGTCAAGTGCCTGTGATCTTTAGATGTACAGTATGGGTGGGAAATTCATACAAAATGAACAGGGAAACTTCATTCGCAGCATTAATATTTAGTTACAAATGTGTAGTGTTGTTTTCCAGTTACATGTTTAATGACATGAGCTTAGCGGAAGTAGATTCTGATAGAGATAGTTAAAGGGAAGTGTGACGAATGTTTGGAGAATTAAGAAGTCGTGTAGAAAAGGAAGGATGAAAAACAGGAGCAAGTGAAAAAGTGATGATAAATTTGGGTCTTGGAGGACAACAACACTTTCCAGTCTGATACAGACGAAGCCACTGAAAGTTTGAAGTCCCAGGATAGGAAATATTCTTCTTCCTGCTGTAGTTGAAAATTCAACTGAAAGGATGGGGAGTAAAATTGCAGTTTTCAGTGACAAATCAATACAGCCACCTTACAGTTAAATTGTGTTAGTGAGAGGCCATTTTAGAGAACAATAAAAGGACACTTTTTGTAAAATAGGAACCTTGCAATAAAAATATCTGCATAAACAAGTCCTACACTTGTTTCACAAATCACCCCAGTAAAATAAAAGTAACCTTTTTTAATTTCCTAAATGAAAACACTTCCCTAATTTATCAAAAATAAATTAAGTTTCTTATCTCGTAGAGCTCACAGTGGGTTTTGCCTGTGTTAAAACGACTGAATTACCCTGAAATACACCGTGGGTGGATTTCTACACAAAAGCCTATGGATCACTCAGGCCTCAATAAACTTTATTGTCCCTCAGGCTACTCACCTTTACAACACGTACCTGCTAGGATTTATCTGCCAAAAAAAGGGAACCTTCTACCCAACAAACAGTAATAATAAATGTTTTGGACTTTCTCTTGCGTGATTTTATTTACTCAACAACTAATGACTGCTCGTTTATTATAGTTAGCTGGAGTTTGAAAGTTTTTGAGAGAGATGTAGTTAATTATAGGCTTTCATTTGTGCATTTTATTAACAAGAAGCTCTTATTTTACTGGAGAGAAGTAAATAAAGCTTAGCTCAATTATATTTTGTTAGTGCATTTACCAAAACTTCTATTCTGTATTCAGGTACAAGGTGAAAATGCAGAGCTTACAGCTGCGAAAATTATATTTGCTAAGCTATGAATATTTTGGCATGAAATTTGAAGTAAAAATTCTCTTCTGTTAAAAAGAGGGGATCATTCAAGTATTTTGAGCGTATCCTAAAAATTCACCCAATGTCACTCCACAGTGCACACTTCCTGTCAATGCGGGGGTTGGTTCATTTGTTCTACTTTCCTTTAAAATCCCTCATTAGATGAGCTGCAGTTAATTATAGAGGCAGTGAACAGCTAAGATACCGCACATGCAGCATTATCGCAGTATCGGTGCCGTAAGAATTGGTGCAGTCTGCATCTTTGGATTCGATCCCGTTATCCAAAGAGTTAACTCGGTGTTGATTTTTGCAGATCTGGAGCTGAATGGTATGTCCAGCTCCGACATCCCCGACATTCCTCCTCCTCTGCCTCTCAAGGGAAGCATGGCCGATTATGGGAACCTCATGGAAAGTCAAGACTTGATCAGCCCGACGACCTCCCCCCCTGCCCATCAAAGGGTGAGTCCCACAGAGGATGATCATTTGCTGCAATTTTCTTTGCTTTTGTACCTTGAACAATCCACAGCGAGGCGCGATCCTGCTCGTGGTGGTGCCACAATTTCTGCAGTTGCAAACAAGTGTCTGGAGCGCGAGGGAACAGCATCGCTCATGGGGACTGACCTGAAGGGAGGTTGGATTCATTCTGGTGGAGAAGACTAAGTAAAATGTTGTTAGCTGTGTTGATAAGGGAGCTTTAACCGACAGGATATAGTCTCAGCCGCAAATTAGATTTAATAGCCTTTCAATCCTGTCTCAGGAAAGGAAATAAAACATGTACCTGACATCTTTCCTTTCTGGAGCTCTCTTCTGTCGACATTCAATTGCCACTTCTTTGCTAGAGGCAAACACACATGCCCCCTTTGAGGCAAGGAGCTCAGAAACACTCTTCATCATCAACAGGGTTTTCAGCTTTCTGAAGAAAATGCACTTTTTCAACTTTGTTTCCTGTATCTTGGAAGCTTTTAAAAATAATTTGGTCCTTTTCTTTAAAGCATCACTTTTGAGAAGGGCCATTTATTTTCTTTTTTGAAGAAAAAAGTATCTTTAAAGAGGTGTGGTGGGTTGACCCTGGCTGGACACTGGGAGCCCACCAAAGCTGCTCTGTCACTCCCTTCCTCAGCTGGACAGGGGAGAGAAAATATAATAAAAGGCTTGTGGATCAAGAGAAGGAAAGTGAGAGATCACTCAGCAATTACTGTCATGGGCAAAACAGACTTGACTTGGGGAAAAATTCCATTTATTACCAATCAAATCGGAGTAGGGTAATGAGAAATAAAACACAAATCTTAAAACACCTTCCCCCCACCCTTCCCTTCCTCCCAGGCTCAACTTCACCCCCGATTTCTCTCCCTCCTCCCCCCAAGGGCGCAGGGGGGCAGGGGATGGGGGGTTGTGGTCAGTCCATCACCCCTGGTCTCTGCGGCTCCTTCCTCCTCGGGGGAAGGGACTCCTCACACTCTGCCCCTGCTCCGGCGTGGGGTCCTCCCCGGGCTGCAGGGGGGCATCTGCTCCCCCCACGGCCCTCCCTGGGTGCAGGGCACAGCCTGCCTCACCACGGTCTTCATCACGGGCTGCAGGGGAATCTCTGCTCCCCCTCCCTCCTCACTGGCCTGGGCGGCTGCGGGGTTGTTCCTCTCCCATATTCTCACTCCTCATTCCGGCTGCTGTTGCACAGGGTTTTCTTCCCCCTTCTTAAATACGTTATCCCAGAGGCACTGCCACCTTGGCCGGTGGCATTGGCCCCATCGGACATGGGGGAGGCTTCCAGCAGCTTCTCACAGAAGCCACCCTTGCAGCCCTCCCCCACTACCACAACCTTGCCATGCAAACCCAAGACAAGAGGTTTTCTTTTCTCCGACTTTGAAGTGTATACCTCTGGCCAAGCTGTTATTTTGTGGGAGAATTCTCAGCGGTAATGATTCTTTTTTGTTTACAGAGGTATCTTCCAGGATTTCTCTGAAGTTCGTCATTCAAATGAAATTCTGTTGAGTAATTCGCTTTTCAGTAAATTTCGTGGTTATAAAAAGAACATTTATAATCTCAGCAGTGAAGGAGTCAGGCAGGAATTTAGTTTTAACTCTTGGAATAGTTTTGTTTAACACGGACTATCACAGTGCAAAACAGTGAACAGTCCGGCTTTTTCCATGGTTGAAACCGTAACTGTGTTGTTGCAGGAATTTGATATTTTCAGGCTAAACAGGGAAAAAAAAAGACAGATATAGAAGTAACTTCAGGAATGTGAGTAGTGTTATTCAAAACACCACCTTTTATTCATTATATGTATATATTGAAAAATTCTCTATTCCCATCCTCTCTTCCACAGTTCTTCCCCATGGCTGGATGGTTTTAGTGAATCTTTTCACTAAATTTTTTTGCAAACCCTTTTCCTCTAATTTCCATTGAAGTGTACTAAGCTCTTAGCCATTTCCCTAGCTTGTCTCTCAGGGGCCAGCTCTCGCTTGACCCAAATACAGACCTCTAAGTGGAAAATTACAGAACGCACAGGAGGGCTGCCAGGAGTTTTGTCTCATCTTCATAAAGAAACCTGAGAAATTCAAATTAGGTTTCAAGTTTCTTGAACTCCTTCCTGTATGAGCTCCAGAGTAGTTAATTCATTTTGTATGATATAAGTTTTAGGTCACGGTGGTAGCTCAGGATTGCTAATGTGAGTTCAACTTCTAGCTAAAAAGCGTTAAACAATGAGATGATAAAACACATGGTGAGAAATAAAATTCCAATAGCTGGGTTCCTTCTCCCTTCCTTGAAAGGCAGTTGGAAGGGGTTTTCTGTCAGTGGATAACTGCTAGATATTTACTGTACTCCTTGCAAATGCCATCACGCTGTGATGGTCGGGGCCCAGACCTGGAGACGACTCAGGTTCCAGCCTCGGTCTTGTTGCTGTTGAAGATGTGACCTTGTGCAGCTCCTGTACCTGTCACGAGTCTGCATCATTAAATGGGAGTTCATAAAATTAGTAGCACTATGCTCTCTTGGGTTTTTGCTAAGTTTTGTTCAGGTCTTTATATCTTCACTGCTCAGGCTCCTTTAATTTTTTTAAAATACATTTCGTAATTGTAGAAATGGACCCCATTGTTTAACATGCAGTGTTGAAGGGCCTCAGGGTTTAAGCATACCTTAGAAATGCAATCAAATATAGGCTCTATCTCCTTAACTAACTGTCCAAAATTTTCTTCAGCGTCTGTATTTTTATAAACTTTCCAAGATGAGAAAATGTAGTTTCAAAGTCTGGAAAATGGATCTAAAGCAGATTTGTCACAGAGCCACATGTATTAGTCTTAGAATTAATTTTAGGAAAGGCTTCTAGTCTTACAACAATCACTCTGTGCATCAGGCTTGTAGGAAGGAAGCTGTTACAGAACATAAAGAAAATGAGTAGTGCTGGGCATGAAAGATCAAATGGGTAAATTCTTATTGCTGCTGTGATTAAATCCCACTCCACAGTTTTTAATGCCTTGTGTTTCATGGGTCAAATAGCTACATACTTCATAACTTTATAATTCTCTGCCTAGTAAACTGATCATCATGTAAATTACACAGTCTTTCTTTGTATCAGTAAAGAAAAATCAGTAAAAAATATTCTAGATAAGATTATCTTACTGGCTTTTAAACTGGAAATATCTCCTTATATGAGAAATTATTACATCATTCACTCTGGTTGCCTTGCAGTCAGTTATGAAAACCAAAAAAAGTGCTGTAGTGAGCTGAAAAGCATGCAGTGCTAAATGCATCAAATACTTCAAATCAAACTGCGGGCAATAGTGTCATTTGGTGTCTGAGATCATAATCAGTCTACCTTAAGTCTTTTATCCAAGTGATCATCTAATTATAATTTTCTGATTGTCCTCTTATTCATTGTTAACTGTGAGACCCTTATATATATTTTCTTGCACTGTATGATTTGTTCTGCTCAAAATGTTCTTAATAATATATGGGAACATAAAAAAAGAAGTCTACGACTCCTGCAAGGATTATTATTACATCAAGGGATTCCTTTAGGCACTTCTCATTCTTTATGGGTTCATCCGTACCCTTGCATACAAATCAACTGCCTGCTTAGTATTCACAGCGAGAAGGGAGACTCCAAGAAAATAGACAAAGGAGCACTTACATTTGTAATATCGGCTATAACACTTACTAAGCATCAGATAATGGTTTGGATGAGAACAGCTCGATCAATCCAGCATAGATAGAGAACTTGGCAAGGAGGGAGAGCAAAGGCCGAAGCGGTGGCTGATGGCGATGGGCTTATTGTGACTCGGATCCTGTTGCACGAGGAGCAGTCAGGCTGGTTACTTGGATATAATGGAAGTGTTTACGCAGAAGGAAAAATCCGGGGGGATTCTTCACGCCTTGGGATGCATATACTGCAGTATCATTATCTCTTGCATTAGCTGCAGCAAGGAAAAAATGACCTTCGCGCTTCAGCAAATGGACTGTCCTCACGCGGACGGAGAAAAAGTTGGGGCTGGAAACCCCGCTGAAACTACGGAGGCAACGGGTAATTAGGGAGCGCTACTTCAGGGCTTGCAATTGTTCCTCCCCTGACGTTATTTCTCAGGAGAAATCCCCTTCCTTCCCCAAGTGCCTCTCGCAGCCCCTGGCTCCGTGTCCCCGGAGCAGGGGGTGGGGGGGAAGCCTCGGGGTGCCACTCGCCCGGGCCCCCGGCACTGGTTTGGTGGCCCGAGGCTCGCCACCGGCTTGCTCACCACAGCAGTGGGAGGGCAGCCTTTGGGAATGTTATCCCGTGGAAAAAGTGAAATTGGGAGAAGTGCATTATTAATCCCTTACATTACATTAGAAAGTTGGCTTTATGGGCTGCATTTGCTCACAAATGGAAATAAATGTCTCCTCTTCTGTCTCATACTCCAGATTTTTTTAAAAACAGGCTCTCTGACCAAAGGCTTTCCATAGGAGTATATAATATGCCCAGAAGAAAAAAAAAAATAAAAATTTTATTTACCATCTGATCATTATTTTTGCCTGCTGGAGATGGGAAGCATTGTAAGCTTCCTCCAGTCTCCTCAGCTGGGCTGGGGTTTGGTGGGTTAAGCTCTTGCCGAGCAAAGAGTTTCTAAAAAGCTCACAGTCACTTTTTAATAAGTCTCAAAATCAATGGACTGCCACTGCTTATTACAGGATTTTGAATGAAAAATGTGTTCTTCTGCTGTCTGCCTGGAGATATACAGCCCATGATGTGTCCCTGAGCAGCACCCTGGATTTTGTTTCGGAAAGGGCCGTGTCGCTGCCCTCAGCGCTACGCAGGATCAGGCTGCGGGTTTTGCTCTGGCCAATTGGTAATGCATTTGTTTATTGCTCTCGCAGGGCCCAGGCCTTCAGTAAGAAATAGAGTTTCAGTCTGGAGTCTAAACCTAATTCTGAGGGTATTGCTCATAACTCTTGTGGTCTGTTTATATACAGACCAGAGCAGAAAAACAGTG